CCCAGCTGAACGGTGAGGTTGTTGCTTTCTAAATTTCTTTCTCACAGGCAAATTGGAAATTAACGTCACATAAGTTTATACAGAGACAAAAATTCACCCCTTATTGTATGTGGAAAATGGGGTCGCTTCAAACCGAGAGGCTTCTGATGAAAAAAAACGGGAAAAATGAATTTTGAAAATTATCATAAATATTGCTTCTAACATGGAAATTTTTAATATTGTTTCTTTGGTTTGACTAAAATTTGCTGTGCCAGTTTCTGTCACGGTCTTCGACCCTTTTTCACGAGCAAGGAAAAAAATCAGCAAAATTCGGTAAACCACAAAAAATTGATCTTGAAATAAGTTGGTTCAAGAATTTGGTTAGTTTTAAGAATTTGAATATTTTTTCTAAATGTAGTTTCTCAATTTATTTTTTCTTGCTCACGGAGGGTCACCGGCCGTGAATAAAACTGATAGAGCCGTTCATTTATTTATTTATTTCATATAAAATAATTTATTCAACAAACACAAAGCCTGTTTTTTTCACTTCCATGTACATTTTTCAATTTGATTTTATAATGGGAACTTATTTGGAGTGATATTATCTCGATTTTGCTAAATTTTGATTAAAAAAACCATTTTAAAGAGAAACATATTATATTTATTTCTGAAATTTCCTTGTCTCATTCGTCCCTGAAATTCATCCGAGCTCTTCTTTTTAGCCAAATCCTTATTTAAAGAGTCGCAAATTGCAGAGGGAAGGAAAATCTCGACTTCAAAGCAGGAAAAGTAAGCAGAGGAAAAAATTAGCAGGGTGACGATGCGAAATAAAATTTCCGAGCACGCACACATGCTTTCTGCGGGAGAGAAGCGAATGCGGCGGCGTCTTTTTCGGAGGCGATGCGGCATCAACAGCGAGGGCTGCTCGGCAGCACCACCAGCACCGCCAACCAAGCAACGTATGCGTATTGATCGCCGCCTGAATCAATGGCCCTCTCGGCCGTACTCTATCCTCGGCCCGCAGACCCCGACCCTTTACCTCTCGGCGCGGCGTTTTCATTAAAATTCTGACGCTCTCCGCTTTATTCCTCCCTCGCACCGCGTCGCCTTATCCCGATTTCAAGATCAAAACTCGATTTTCTCGTTCTGCACGTTGCCCGATTGGCGGAGTGACTCGCGTTCCGACGCTCCGGGGCGCGCGAGAGGCGCCATCCAGGAAATTGGGTCACTGGAGCTCCTCTCCGAGCTCGCTTGGCGGGCTTCGCCAAATCCCAATCGGATAAAACTCCTTCCGGTGTTTTCGGCTATTCCCAGGCTAAAAGCCACCCTGCGCACCACTGGACAGACTAATATATTTATTGATTGATTGGAAAATGCTTGAAGATATCAGAAAAAATATATAATGAATTTATTTTCACAGTTAATATAAGGTGAATAATATTTTTAAGAAAATTGTTAAACTATTAATTATTATTAATAATTTCATTTAAATTATGACAAACTGCCCACATAACTTGGTTTTAAACATTCTTTAACAATCAACGTTTGTAAAATTATTTAAGGATTTTAAACTGAGAATTATGCATTCCACTTTCATTTTATGCATTCTGGGCCTTTGACATAAAAAATTCAAAAAAAATTCAAGAAACATGATTATATTTTTATCATTATTAACAATTTTTTACTTCAAATTGATCTTAAAAATACTTATTTATTGTTAAATAGCAATGTTATGTAGTAATTTATTTAAATTAATTGTATAAATCTTTTAAAAAACATTTTTAGACAACAAGTCAACAATAAATTGATATACAACAAGAAAATTGAGTTGAAGTAATTATTTATAATTAATTTTATTTTTTAAACATTTCAAGAGTTGAAACTATCTATAAAGACACATTGAGACTTTCACTGCTTTTTTTCTCTTTTTTTACCACAAATTTGGGCCTAGAAAAGTAATTTTTTAGATTTTTTTGCGCTTCAAAATTCACATATTAACCAATTGAACTATTCTATATTGCTAACAATAAAAATAATATAATATTAAAAATTTCAATATTCATTTGCCAAAATGGTAATGCAAATATAAACTTTTTTGTTTATAATATATTAATATTTAAAAAAAAAACTAAAGTTATCAAAAAGTACGTTTGAAAGAAAAAAAAATAGAAAGTGATGGCAAAGAAATTTAAAATTATTGCTTTTTGGAAACCATATCATAATTTTCAGTCCATTTTGGTATATAAACGACACATATTAGATTTTCCCTGGGCGTCATCGCGTAATAAAAATAAATAAAGAGAGACGTAACACGCACAGCTGGATGTGATTTGCGTGTCGGCAGATTTAATCTCGACCGGCGCGTATATATGGCCGGTGACAACGAGCCAGAGAGAGAGAGACGCACACATGCACATATTAGAAAATTCTTCCGCCATCAAAATCTCCTGTGGAAAATCCTGCCCTAGCTCTTGACACGAATGGAAATCCCGACTAATCTTTTTAATTTCCAGGCCCATTTAAGCCGCAATCAAAATGAAATATTCGTATCGCACGCCATTTTACAGAAAAAAAAAAATAGTTTGCGTGTTTAAATAAAAATCCTTTTTTTTTTGGTAAAAGTTCTGCTTGTTTGTCTCGCTTTAATCAAAGGAAATTATGTGAGCAGCGGCCCAATAATTGATTGAACTTGCCACGATTTATTATGTCAGTCAAGAGGGGCTTCGCTGGCTGGCGGTATTTGTGTGTGTGCCTCTGTGTGTTCTATCAGCAAACAGGGTTGAGACTGTTCAAAGCAATCTTGTAGGGCGCAACCTCGTCTCTTTTTTGCGCCGTCGCTGCCTGAAAGATTGCACAAGAAAAAAATGGGATTTGGTTCTTGCGCCTTGTCAAGAGTGAAGGTTGTAATAGTCTTGGAAAATTTTCTTGATTTTCTCTCTCTACAGATCCAAAATTATCAAATGAAAGCACAAATAATAAAAATTCAATGTAAAAGTCAACAAAAATTAAAATAATAATATTTAATTTTAAGATGAAAATTTTCTGTTTAAATATTTTTGCTTTTTTAAAAATTTTCTAATTTTTTAAAACGTTAGCAAAAGAAATGAACTAATATTTAAGAGTAATTTACATGTGATAAATTAAATAAAAAATGAATCAAAATAATTTTTTTCAAAAGGAAGAAATAAATTATAAAATTTCATATTATTATTCCTTTTCTTGCTCTTAATTTGGGTGAGTTTTTATTATTGTATTCTTGTTTTAAAGAAATAAAATCTCAGCGGAGTAAGAGAAAACTCGCAAATGAGACAGAATTTGAAGGTCTGTGTCGCCCAGCCAAGCGAGCTAGCGTTTCTCGTCTCAGCATCCTCTTCGTTTTGCTCAATGGAGCTTTTGATCGGTTGCCAAACTGCTGGATGGGCCCCGGTCGCGAATCACAAACGCATATTAAAACATATTCATTCAAGTTTATTTTTCTGGCACGACGTCACTTTCTTTCCGGCGACACTCGTTGGAAATGGACCGAATTGATTTTCCTTTTTCTTACAAAAAGAAAAGGGACGCTTTGCTGTTGCCGGGCCAGTCTCTCGGGTAAATTAGAGTTGGTCGACGCTCCCAGCTTGTAATTATGTTATCTCTCGGAACTCGCAACGTGTAATTTCAGGCGATTTCCGCTATTTAATTAGTTCCTTCATTTTGCAGAAACATGACCTATTTCTTGAACTTGTAATACATTTTAAAACCTTCTTCCGATTTTAGAGAAAAATGAGAAGCAACAATAAGAAGAAATTTTTAAAATTTAACGAAAAATTGTTTTTCCAAATTAACTATTTCGCTGATTTAATGCTGTATTTTTAAAGTAAGCAAATAATACAGAATTAAAATTTTGTGATTAAAGGTTGAGCTGGGTTGAGCTATAAGTTGCTTCCATTTAAAAATTTTATCTCAGAATAATATATATTATACTAACAATCCGATCCACTGGGTCATAAACAATTTTATTTTCATAAAAATACAATTAAGTGGTCATTGCTGCTCAAATTTATTTTAAAAACCTAATAAAACAAACAATAGAATTGTAATAATTTGAATGCTCAGCTGTTTAATATTTTAAGTTTTGGTAAATATGTAAAATGGAAAAAAAAATAGTTATAATATTATTATTCTTTTAAAAATAATATGAGATTGGCAATTTCAACGTTTTAATTAATATTAAACTTAATATAGTTCAGAATCTTTTAATAGTTAACTAAAAATATAAAAATATTAGTAGACACTTAAAAATAGCATAAACTAATTTATTTTCCATTTTTATCTGGCTTTTAGGAACATTATAATAAATATCAACTAAAAATATCATAAAAATTACATCTCATCTGAGTGTCACTGTTTCTATTTTATTTATCCTCAATTCTATTATGTCACATTATTAATATTTATACTATTTATAGGTTTATTCTACTCATTAGCGTTGCTTTCAACACGATGTTATCTCTAGTCAAACTATTGAAGAGAAATTTGCTACATGTTCCTAAAACCTGAAAATAACTACTAGGCTGTTGAAACCACATTGAATTATATAAAATCCGAAATTTATTTCTGCTCACAGCGATGCCCTTTGAATTGAAATTGAAATCAAAAGAGAGATTACAATATCGCTGAACCACGGCAGACCCACGCAGAAAATTCACCCGCAAAGAAAAGCATGAAATGAACACACGAGCCTACATTTTCCGGGTAACGATTTTATGGTGCAAAAAATGCATGCACGAGGGAGAAAAAAATATACTGTATAAAAGTCGTCAGAGTGGACCTTGACATTTACCCTTTTCTTCTGGCTGAGAGCGAATAAGTCACGCACAAATCCATCTTGAGCGAAACGCGAGCCACCCTCAAGAGAAAGAAGGAAAACACATGCAGTCCCGGCCATCAACATTCTCGCAGCTTTTCCTTCCTTTTTTCTTTGCCTCGAGAGTGTCGGCAATTGGAGAAGCTAATGCTGCGTTGGTGTGGTGTTTCAGAAACAGGCCATGCTGGTGCGACAGTTGGAAGAGGAGCTGAGAATGCGACTCCGCAGCAACCCCAGCATCGAGATGCAGTCCCAGATGGAGGCCCTGTTCACCGAGAACGACCACCTCACAAGGGAGGTCACCATTCTCAGGGAAACGATCAAGGTCAGTTCACGCAAACAAAATGCCCAAATTTAATTGTTATTTCTTATAATTGGATTTAAAAGAAGAAAAAAAAATAGAAAAGTTTAATAGAATTAAAATTAATAATTTAGCTTTTGCAATTGATTTTTCAATTGTCTCCTCAGGCAAGATGACTACAATTGTACAATTTTTAATTTTTTTTTATTCCATATTTGCAAATCATTATCTAGTATTTTAATTATCAATATCTTCAATGCCTCGTCATGTAGTGATGGTTAACATCTCTTTATATTAACAATGATTGATGGTAATTGTAGTAATGCTGTTAAGATTATAAATAAAAAAGTAATTTAAAACAAAATCAAATCTTTAAAAAAAAGTTAATGTTTAAAATAATTTAAAATAATAAAAAAAAATAATGTAATATTCTTGTTAAATAAATATAACAAAAAAAATTTATTTAAGATTACAAATAAAGTCATGTTACATATTTCTAATAATTAACTAATGATTATTTAAAAACTTTAAATTATTCTGTTAAATTTAAATATTAAATTAAACTTATTTGCAGCTTGACCATTTCAATTGTCCATATTATGTATAATTTTTTTGTTATAATAGCTTCATCTTCCACAAAAAGGATCACATTTTAAATTTATGCTATGGAGCAACACTTAAGCTAAAAGTTTTAAAATAACAACATTGAGTAGATATTTTAGTATATTTTAAGTGACTTTCGGGTAATATATTTTGCTACCTTCTGTAGACAATAAGTTTTTTGTAAATATCAGACTCATTGATTTTGTAAAAAAAAAAATGTTTATCATGATCATCATGATCATTTAATAATACAAAATTAAACTATTGGAAAATATTCACTTTAGATTTAACCAAACATAAAAATTTTTAATGGGCTTTTTCAAACCTATTTAGATGAAAACATCCTGGTCATGCATTTTTCACTCCGGCAGTCATACAGAGAGTTGAAAGCAAGAGAGACTCGGAATTAATGCTATTGATTTTCCGACAACATGTCTCATGACCCATTTCTCAAGGGTTTTTATGCTCCACATTTTACGCCGACTGCTTTTTCCACCACCTATTCAAACATATTGAAAAAACTTCCCTGTTGATTGGTTCTAGGAATTGGAATTGAGAATCGACACCCAGAAACAAACGCTGCAGGCGCGCGACGAGAGCATAAAAAAGCTGCTGGAAATGCTCCAAAACAAAGGAATCGGTGAGTCACACCAAACAATTCTATCGAATTATATACATTTTTGCAATAATTAATTAATCCAAATTTCTATTTCTCTTTCTCACACACTTTTTAATTTTCCCCCAAATTTCAAATATCCCTTTTTCTCACCTAGAGATAATATTATATACTTATATTTTTTTTCTATTTTTGGGCAACCAAAACTTTGGATTTAATTGGAATTTAGAGAAAAGATCCGAATTTTTGCAAATGGTTCCTACATAAATATTATTATGAGATGCTAGCAAAATAAAGCGCTTTTATTAAACACGTGACTGATTATCACGCAGGCAAAGAGGAGGAACGACAGATGTTACAGCAATTGCAAGTGGTAGCCCAAAAACAGGTGGAGACACATTAACTCAGCTCTATATATTTATATAACACATATATAAATACATCCGTCGATATTATAATTATTAATTTTCGTTTCTGCTTGCTGGTTTCTACTACTTTTCCCGTTTTTATAGCGCACCACGTTATGTTTCTGTTTTGGCTCAGGCAGCACTTTCCTCATAATCCTTAGCTCCTGATTTCTTGCATGGGACCTGCTCGATCATTCATACAAAAGTTTCCAATTCATTCGAAAAACTCGTCGGAATTTGGTAAAAGTCGGAAGAAGAGCAAATAATGGAAGGGCTAGGGGTGCTGCCTGGGTGGTTGTAGAATGGCGATTGAGGCTTTGTTCAAGTAGCGCCCAGCATTTTATAGTCGAGCTGTGGGGTTGTGTTCATAGGTGGTAAAATACTAGACTCTGAAGAGGGTGAGGCGGTTTTGGCCGAGTTTGAGTCCCGACTCTTAGACTCCGAGGCTAGAATGCGGGAATATGATGCGGTGTTGGGCGATCGCGAGCAGGAACTCAGCTTGACCCACCGCGTGAGTAAGCAGCAGGCAACCTACCCCCCTCAACCCCCGACCCTTCCTCTGCCCGTCAACAGTCTGGTCCTCCCAGCCAGACTGGGTGGTCAGTCGGGTGTTCACTGTGAATCGCAAAAATCAAAACCATTCAATTGAGAGATCGGCCTTAAAAGTTTCTAAAAATTTAACAAAAAAATACGATAATTATAAATTATTGTGATATTCTGGAATTACAAATGATTGAAACAAATGAAAGGGTCAAGGGTCAGTTGATTAAATAAATGCATTCGGCTAAAAAATAAATCATATTTTGTTAAGTCCTTTAATAAGAGAACGTGAATGTAAAAGTGTTGAAAACAAACAGTATCAAAAAGTTAGTTGGTGAGGTGAAAAGTCAAGGAGATTTTGAGGAGTTTGAAGCTCAATTTTCAAATGTTACTAAGTTGTTTATTTAAATTTTGTTATAATTTAAAAAAAAAATTGAATATTTAAAAAAAAAATACATTAAAATTACTGAAATATTATTTATTAGTTTTTTTCAAAGTCTATTAATTTGATATTAAGATTTTTCCTAGAAAAACAGTTTAAAATTTTTAATTAAATTTTGCAATCATATCACAAGGAACTATAAAAATAAAAAGTCTGATGTGGAAATTTTTTAATTTATTCTACAAAAAGGTCAAAAATAATTTTAATATTAATTTATTAATCAATTTTGAATTCAAATGACAACTTATAAGCAGATTAAATATTTGAATGAATTTAAGAGCAAATTCACTAAAATAATAAACAGATTTTTCACCGACGACACAATTTTCAAGTTTTCAAAACAGTTTTTACTTTTTGCAATTCCCTTACAAAGGAGTGCAGACCCTGATCAAAAACAGCTTTCAAAATTTATATTAAAACCAGTTTAATCTGTGAATTTTTGCACAAACTTTTCGCGATTCTGCCGAATCCACCCGAGCCACTACTTGTGAACCAAAAAAAGCAGAGCAAAATAAAAAAGTGGCGTGTCCTCCCGTCTCTCAGGAACTGAAGAACGCGAGCGACACGGTGCGCGCCCTCCAGAGCCAGCTCGAGCAGACCACCCTGATCGCGGCGGCGGCCAGTTCGGGCCAGCCGGCGGCCGCGACGGCCACGCAGACGGCGCTGGCCGCCATTCTGGAGACGAAAGACGTGAGGATCAATACCCTGGAGAGGGAACTGGCGCTGCTTGAGCGCGAGTTGCACCGGATTAGGGAAATCCCCGAGCCGTTGCTCATCCCTCCATCCACTGCCATTCAGCTGATGGACCAGCGTCCCCTGATGGAACCGTTCACCCACTTCACTGCTTCCCTTGGCCTTAATGACCCGACACACGTGGACCCTCGCGCCAAGCGCCATGTAAGTCGCTCCACGTAAACAGCAAAATCTCCCAAAAAAACAGAATCACATAATAAATTGAGAGAAAAAAATGATAATTTTATATAAAAAAAATTCCTAAAAAAACGAACCACTATATATATTTTTATGCCGTGAATCTCTATATATTTTCGTATGATGATGACATTCGCCTGCCACCTCTCCTCCTCGTCTCTATGAATTTCTATATATAATATTTTCTCTTCAAATTTCCCTTTATATCTCTGAAAAAGCACTTTCCTCTCCTGGATCGTTCTCAAATTTAACTATGAAAAAATTGGAATTTATTAATTTATGCATCCCGGCTGGGAAAGTGTCTAATTCACCGTGTGTTGCAAGAAAGGCGTGGTAATGAACAAATGTGATGAATTCATGGCGTATTTATGTCGTGTGTTATTTTGATGCTTAATTTCTGTGCCACCCTCGTGTTGCATCACTGGAAATGTGTGCAAGTTTGTTGCAAAAAAAAACCATTCACGTTAGTCCTTTAGCGCAAGTGGTGATCCAAAAAAAGTGTGTCTTTGAGTGTGGTGGAGTCGGTGTTAAAATCTTGTTTAGAGCCGAGAGCAAGTTCATTCAAATTCCTTTGAATTTTAATTCACAAAAAATTAAATTAATGAAACACAAAAAAAGCCACTTAAAACCTAGGCTTAATTGAAACTTTTAAAACTCATATACAATTTTTTTTTTTATTTTTGTATAAAAACTTATTTAAAATAAATTAAGTTTTAATTTTAATTTAAAATATCATTTAAGTACTAATTTTTTGTTATTAATTTTATTTATTTTTGTTTTGTTTAATTAATAGTTTTTAATATTTATGCTATTCACTTTTTTCATTTATTTTTTATTAAATTTTATTTTAATATTTATAAATCGAGACGGTCACAAATTATTGATTAAAATTGATAAACTCTTCCACCCCTTTCTTCTGGCGTCTTAAACATCCCACGACATCCCCTTCACGTCTCGGCTTTCCCCGTTCAATTTCCTCGCCGACCGCGAATCAAATTTCCAAATTGGCTCCGCCAACTCTGCTCGCGAGACAAATAAATTGATTACAAAACAAAATCATCCCCGTGGGCGGCGCCGACGCGAATCCCGAAAAGCAGTCAGATTTCGACCTCCCATACTAAAAGAGTAAAGGCAATTTGTTTGCTTGTCTCTATCTCGCGGGCGCAGACTTCTTAAAAGGGACGAATTCATCACAACATTACAAAGATCTTTCTTGTAGCACCGCGTGGAAGAGATTTTTGTGTCGTCTGCTACTTACCACGTAACACACAGCAAGCTGATGAGTCCTGTAAACACTCTTTGATTTTCAAACTGACAGTTATTGATTGTCTCGATCTTGCGAGAACTAAGTTTAGTTTTTGGCCTCGTTCTGTATGAAACTCTGTACATATTTTATTACATTATCCTCATTAAACAAAAAAAAAAATTATACATAATGAATGTTATTATTAAATAATTAATTAATTGTCTCTCTCTATCTCTATCTTCATACTAACTGTTTCTCCTGCTCTCTTTCTCTCTCTCTCTCTACCCTTCCGTTGTGACTCCTTAATTGTTAGGTGCCTCTTTAATTGAGAACAACATCAGAATCTTAAACAATTCCGATGGCTGTTGATTCGTGACAATTTGTGTATTCTAAATAAATCAACTCTCAAAAATTATGATTTTAACCGAGAATAATTGATATATTTTACCACCTATTGTATGCAACGTTTGTCAGTGTGTTTGAAGATACATGCACGAATAATTTTTTTTCTCTCACTGCTGGGTTTGCATGTCGGACGTGATTGGATTGATTGGTGTGTCTTAATTAATTCGATGAAGGCGCTGAATAATGATCAGGTGCCTTCGTTGAAAATTTTAATTTCTCTCTGATATGCACATCTTCTTCTTCTTCTATGCTACTCACTTTCTCTGTCTAACCTTGTTCCTTTTTGAGCAAAATATTGTTGTGTAGTGCAGTTTGGCTTGCTTAACCGGTGAGTTTGATTCTCTCGACTTTCACTATTTTCTAATTTCTCCCAAATGCACGGCCACAAAGCCCAAACCGAGACTGCAAAAAGCGCTGCGCCATTCGGTCCGCCGCCGCACGCATTTTCTGGTCTGCTGCCAGAAAGTACTTGTGACGACCGACGGGCGCAAGAAAAATGATTTAAAAGGAAGCAAAAAGTCGCTTTGGACGTTGTGGCAATTTCGGTTCGGATCAGAAAATAAAGCAAAAAATAAAATTAATATACCCGACAAAAACATCACAAAAATTATTTATATATAATTTCATTTTCTCGGGGATTCCGATGACTGACTAGTGCGAATTTCAGCTGGAAGAGTTCCGCAGCGAGATCACGAGACGAGACCAAGAAATGCTGGCGGTCAGTGCCAAAATGAAGACGCTCGAGGAGCAGCACACGGACTACCAGAGGCACATCGCCGTGCTGAAGGAGTCGCTGGCCGCCAAGGAGGAGCACTACAACATGCTGCAGGCGGACGTAATTTGATTTGTAGAAGAAATGATAGGGCGCGGTGCTCAAAATCCAATTTCAGGTCGAGGAGTTGCGTTCGAGGCTGGAGGAGAAGAACAGACTCATCGAGAAGAAGACGCAGGCCGCCATGCAGGCCTCGTCCGACCGCAACAGGGTGTCCACCGAGGTGCAGGAGCTGCGCGAACACATGGACATCAAGGACAGGAAAATCAACGTCCTCCAGAGAAAGGTTGGCGGATGAAAGAATTTTATTTAATTATAGCTTTGAGCTTCCTGTAATTGTTATGTGAGCACCAAATGAGGAATTTGTGTATTATTTTATTGTTTGCGTTTGAATTTTCAGCAATCATTATCGAATTCAATTAATTGGAATCGACTTTGAATTATTTGACGTTTCAGGCCTTTTTAGTTTTAATTTGAGAGATTTTTATGCTGTTAAATTGATTAAAATTTTAAAAGAGAGAATTAAAATTCAATAAAAGTATCTATTTTTCAAATGATACAGTGCGGAAGGTTCATGAAATTGAATGAAGGAGCATTCCTTCCTTTTATTAGCTTATTGCAAAAAATATTACGCCAGCAAAAAAGTCTCTCGCTTATTGTTTTTATTACGTTTCTTATTGCGTTTCTTTTAGCAGTTATTGCACCTTGTAAACCCATTTCTTTTTTACACGCCGTGTGCCGTATATAGCTGTTGTGGAAAATCGATAAAATAGAGCTCGAGGATGTCAAATTCGCAGCAGAAGTGTTGTCAATGGACCCATTACCTTGGCACAATGTGCCATTAGAACCTCTATTTATGTATGTACATATCCTCCTGCTGCACATCATTATTCCCTCTGCTCCGCCGCATTTACGTATTATGTTGGCGCTCTTTTTATTTTATTATTTCAGTATGCACCGTTTGTTCTCTCTATAAATAGCGCCTTTAGTGCATTTTTAGTTCACGGGCTTTTGCTCTAAGGATTTCCGAAAGAAAGTTAAGTGGTAAAAATTGTAATAATATAAATATCACCATTAATTTCTTGTATTCCTCAGATTGAAAATCTGGAGGACCTGCTGAAAGAGAAAGACAACCAGGTGGACATGGCGCGTGCGAGGCTGACGGCCATCCAGGCGCACCACGGCGCCTCGGAGGGCGCTCTCTCCACTTTGGAGGAGGCCCTGAGCGACAAGGAAAAGCAAATGGCTCAATTGCGGGAGCAGCGGGACCGGGCCGAACGAGACAAGGCGGAGGAGCGGGAATTGCACGAAAGGGAAATCGCCGAGTACCGAATGAAGCTGCACGCGTGCAACAGCGAGATCGAAACGCTGCAGGCCCGTCTGGACCGCGCCCTGGCCGACAAGGACAAACTCGAGACCAAGCTGGAGAGCTCGCAGTCCGAACTGGGCAAGTCCAAGGCCGAGTTGGACAAGGTGAGCGTCGAGATCGGCGGCCGCGGAGGCGATCTGGAGTACACCAGGCAGCGACTGGCCCGGCTCGAAATCGAAAACGAGCGGCTCAGAACCGAAATGGAGCGGGCCCAGGCGCAGTTGGATCGGTCGGTGACGCCGTCCCGCTTGGAGCTGCACGGCTCCAGCTCCAATCTGTACCTGAGCACCAGCATGGACCGGGATCGAGACAGAGATCGGGATAGAAACACCAGCATGGCCTTGAGAGGTGGCGCCGGCGGCACCAGTCCGAGCGAGGCGCGAGGGGGTCTGACCGAGATGGAGCGGCTGCAGGAACGCTCGGACCGGAACAGTTCGGAACTGCGACGAGCGCAGGCCGAGCTGCGTCTGGCCAACTCGGAGAGGGACCGAATCAGGGCCAACGCCGACGCGCTCCAGGAGAAGCTGGAGAAGTCGCAGGGCGAGGTGTATCGGCTCAAGGCGCGCCTCGAGAACGCCCAGTCCGAGAAAACCAGCATGACCGAGGAATTGGAAAGAGCCACGCAGGCACTCGCTCGTCTGCACGCGGAACGCGACAAAGCCTCAGGGGACATTGAAAGAGCCCGTGATGACCTCGAAAGGGCGCACGCAGCCCTGGCCAAGGACCGGCTGCAGCACGACAAGCTGCAGGACCAACTGGACAAGGCGCAGTCTGAACTAGACAAGTCGCAGGAGAAGTTCGACAGGATGTCAGGAGAGCTAAGAAGAGTGAGTTTAAATTTTTTTAAATGCTTATACAAAAGAATTATACCAAAATTAAATATAAAAAAAAGAATTTAAAAATATTCATGGTTATCTAATAAAAAAAATTTATCATTTTCCCTTCAAATGAAATACAGGATTCCATTAGAAGTTGAAATTAATTTTAATTAAAGATTTTATTATTCTCATAACAAGCAGATTTCACTTTACAACTCTAAAGAAAAAAATATCTTTTTAATTTTTAATTTTCTTTTTTATAGCTTCAAGTCGAGAAGGAGAAAATGGTTTACGATTACGAGAATTTGCAAGCGCAACTGGACAAATCGCAGGGCCAAGCCGGTCGCCTGGTCAAAGAGAAAGAAGCCGCCCAATTGGAGGCAGACCGATTCAGAGACAAGAGTGAAAAGGCTCAGGTGCGTTCCTTCACAGAGCTAATTTACGACCGCGTGTTACACAAATAAACTCCATTTATATCCTTGCAGGCGCTGGTTGGCAGAATTCAAAAAGAAAAAGACACCATGCAAGCGGAGTTTATGAAGCTGCAAGAGAGGAGCGAGACCTTACAAGCCCAACTCGGAAAAGCCCTTAGGGACAAAGACACGACAGCTGCTGAAGTAGAAATTCTCAGGGAGCGCGCAGACAAAGCGACGCAGCAGCTACAGAAGATACAAGTAATATTTGGGAGGAAATAAAAATTTTAATGCCATGTTTCATTCAAAACTTTGCAGATTGAGAGAGATGATGCCGGAGCTGAAGTGGAAGTGCTGAGAGACAAGTTGGAAAAGGCGAGCTTTGGCGCGACGAAAGCACTGGAGGAAAGAGATCTTGCGAATAAGGAGTTCGAAAGGATGCTAGAAAAATATGATAGGTATAAATGTGCATTAGTTTTACACTATTATTGCTAGAAATTTTTCCAATATTTTATTATTTAGGCGATAATTTAATTACTTCTTTTTCTAAAAATATTTTTTTTTCAAATATGAATTTTTGTTTTAAATATTAAAATAAATTAATAAATAAAATATTAAAGCAACGATTTTAATTCTTTAAAGTTATAAATAAAAAAATTTGTCCCGAGTAACTTCACAGATTAAATTGGTCATCAATAGACCTATAATCCTTGTCTCGCATCTTTTTCTGTGATTTGCGGAGACCACGTCAATTTGAAAAATTCCAAAATAACAACATTTTATTTTTAATTTTTGATTAGGTCCCAGGGAGAAGTGTACAGGCTGCAGAACAGACTGGAAGCTGCAGAAGCCGAAAAGGAGAGAATCGTTGTTGAAGCCGAAAAGTCGAATCTGCTGGGCAACAAGTCAAGGGAAGAAGCCCGCCGCCTTGCCGAGGAACTCGCCAGAACCCAGGAGCTTTACGAACGGGCCGCCCTTCAGCTCAGCCGAAACCGCGAAACCGAGGAGAAGACCAAGGACGAATTGGACAGACTCACAGTCGACTTGGGAATGGCCAGGGACCGTCTGGAGAAATCGCAGATCGAACTTCGTCGTGCCAACACCGACAGAGACACCCTTCGCGCCGATTTGGAGCGCCTCACCTTCGAGTCTGAGAGGAACGCCGGTCTGGCCGCCAAGGCTCAATCGGCGGCCGACAAGTCGAGCGACGAGGCCGCCCGTCTGCAGGCCGAACTGGACACAGCCTACGAACGGCTGGACCGGTGCGGTGTTGAGCTGCGCAGGGCCACCGCCGATCTGGATACGGTCAAGACCGAGAGGGACGCGTTGAGGGACGAGGCGGAGAGACACGCAGCCCGCGCCGGAAAGTATCAGGATTCGCAAGAACAGGCGCAGGCCGAGACGGATCGGCTGAGGAGAGAAGTGGAGGTTCTGAGGGACCGCCTGGCCGGCGCCACTGCTGAGGCTGAAAGGGTCGGCTCGGCGGCCAGTGCAACCAGAGACGCCGAAGTCACTCGACTCAGATTGGAACTCGAGGACTACCGAGGCAAGCTCGAGTTTGAGTCGGAGAGGTCAAGGCTTGAAATCGCCAGACTTTCATCGGAAGCTTCCAAACTCAGAGAAAAGAACGAGGTTAGCAATGGTTAAAATTATAGAAAGAGAGCCCAAATTTAAGAAAAACTCCATTTTTAAATATAGTTCAAATTTATTTCCCCTAAAGAGATAAAATGAAATTTACAAGAAAACTTTTTAATTACAAACATTAAAAACAATTTAAAATTTTAATTGTAAGGTTTATAAAGTTTTAATTTATTAAATATTGTTAAATTTCTTCAATTAAATTAAGTAATTTAATTTAAATTACAAGATATATAATTTTTATTTGCATTATATTAAATGCACCAAATGGACTATTTTATGATACATAAATAATTGTAAAGAATATAAAGCAAAATAAATAATAATAAAAATAAATTTTACCACTGAATTGAAAATTTAAGACCTTCTTTTAAGAAAATGAGTAAAATTTTGTATTTAATCAATTTTTTTCAAATTAAATTAAATTAATATTATTACTTTTTTAAGGTGACACAAACCGAACTGCAGCGAGCTCTTGTGACGTCAGAGGCCCTTCAGACCAGGCTGAGCGAAGCGCGCCAGGACGCCGATCGTCTTTCGTCCACTGCCGACTCTGCCAAAGAACGCCTGCACATCGAGTGCGAAAAACTCAGGGACCGTTTGGAGAAGGCCAGCTCGGAGAATGAGAGGCTCAAGACGGACATCCTGAAACTGGAGCGCGGCGGGCTGGCCACGGAGAACGAGAAGTTGGCGCGCGCCGACGCCGAGAACTCGCGGCTCTCGCGCGAACTGGAAAAGTCGCAGGCCCACCTGGCCAAGTACCAGGAGAACACGGAGGCGGCGCGAATCGAGTTCGAGCGGATGAACACCGAGCTGCAGCGGCTGCACGGCCAGCTGGAGAAGGCGCAGGCCGAGTTGGACCAAGCGCGACGCGAGAACGCCAGCTCGAGCGAGCAAGGCCGGCAAGTGGAGCGGCTGACCGTCGAGAGGGACCAACTGGTGAAGCAGCTGGAGAAGTCGCAGGACATGCTGATGAACTTCCAGCAGGAGTTGCAGCAGGCCGAGGCGGCCCTCGCGGCCAGGAGCAAAGGCGGCCAGGCCAGCGAGGTTGAGGCGCAGAGGCTGCGGCAGGAGTTGGACAAGGCGTTGCGAATGGCCGAGAACTCGACTCAGGAGCTGACCCGGGTGCAGGCCAACAAGGAGGCCGAGGCCCAGCAGATGTCCAAGGAGGTCGAAATGCTCCGCGCCGAGATGATGCGCTTGAAGAAGGAACAGCAGACCAGGGACGCCAACAAGGACATTGCGGCGGCTGCAGGAAGGGACGCGGCCGAGATCGCCCGACTCAGCAAAGAACTCGAAACTGCCAAGGCCGGACTGAACAGTGCCAATGTGGAGAGGGACCGGTTCCAGGCCCAGTTGGAAATGCTGGTGCAGGAGCTGGAGCAGAAACAGGTGAAACTAACACAACTGCTCCTGCCCGACGAATGGTTTATTTTATTTTAACATTTATTTTCTCATTTGGTGCCGAATTTTGATAATTTATTTGGTCTGAATTTTATTCTTTTTAAATTATAAATGAATTAATTTACAGCTGGACTTGTACGACGCGAATCAAAAACTGCAGTCTGGCGCCGTGCAGGGTGACGCTGAAGTTATGGCTCAGAGGAAACAACTGGAGGAGCAGAGACGGCGCCTTGAAGAGCACAGAAAGCAGTTGGATGGAAAGGTCAAGCAGCTGGAGGAGAAGGAAAAGGCGCTTGCAGATGTGGACCAGAAGCTCAAGAAGAGAAAGGAGAGAATGGACCAACTGGAGGCACAAATGCAAAAGGTTAGTGCATTTTTATATTTGAAATTAAAAAAAATTGAAAATATTTACTGTGCAAATTTTTTACTTCAAACTAAATAAAGTAGAGTTGCCAAGGTAAAATAATCTGTAATATGGAAATATCTTTGAATTCATTTAAAAAAATCTACTAACATTTCTGTTGATTTTTTTTTTTATTTGAATACAATTTTTTTGGGCTTCATACCTTAAAAAATTTATTTTATTTGCAGCAAATGCAAGAACAAGGAGGACAGAACGCCGCCGGCCAGCAGCAAATGCAGCAAGGCCAGCAGCAGCTCATGCAGGAGAGGGAGCGTTTCAAGCAAGAAAGGGAAAAGTTCCAACAAGAACGGATGCAGGTGCAACAGCAGCTGCAGAAGTTCGCACAGGACCAGCAGAAATTCGCGCAGGACCGCCAGCAGTTCCAGCAAGAGAGACAGAAATTCGCTCAGCAGAAGCAGGCTGGTGGCGCCCCCGGCAAACCTGGAGCGCCGTCGCCCGAAGTGGAAAAGGAGCTCGCCAAGGCCAAGGAGGACGCCAAGAGGGCGCAGGAGGAAATGGAGCGGCTCCTCACCCTGGTGCAAATGAGCCAGGAAGAGCAGAATGCCAAAGAAAAGACCATTCAGGACCTACAAACGTAAGTTTAGAACAAAAATTTAAAACTTAGCATGTTTAATAAAATTTAAATTTATGCAAATATCATTTAAAACAATTTGCTTAAACATCTTTCTGATATTTTTCCAGAGCCTTGAAAAATACTCAGGCCAAAGTGAAACAGCAGCAGCAGGCTGAAGAGGTATGAGAAATAAAATTCGGGACTAACAAGGTGCATGAGGAACTAACTAACAAAACTCTCTCTTTCCGAACAGTCTGGCCCTGCTGGATTCCTTAAAAGCTTCTTTTAAACCACTCACAACCTTCCTTCTGCCTCCTTTTTTTGGTACTCTTTATTTTTCGTCGTGCAGCAACGTGATTTTCATGTCAAAAGTTGTTATCGTCCTCCAAGAGATTTGGCTAATCACTGCCAGCCAATTGATTTTCGACGCTGTTATACCGCACTCTTTTTATTACGGAAAAAGACGCATGGAAATTTACTCTCTGCTGCAGCTTTGCTTCTCTCGCTCTCTCCTCCGCCTTGATTTTTGTTTGTTGTTTGCGCATTTTTTATTTCGTCCCTCCTCTCACCCGAACCTGACTTGCGCACCTTAGGAGGGGATCACAGACAGTGACCAAATCGAAGAGCTGCAGGAGGCGCTGCGTGAAAGCGTCCGAATCACTGTCCAGGAGGAGCACAAGCGACACGAACTCGCCATCAAGGTGATCAAATTAAAAATTAAAAACGCCTGCCAAACGTTGCAAAGGCAACCTGCATCGCTTCCAAGTCAAACAAGTTGCATAACTTTCAACTCCACAGGTTGACACTCTGGAGAAGAAAATCCGATCCTTGCAGTCAGCAAAAACCATGAGGTGTCCCACCTGCCGTCCTCTCCTAAGTCATATTCCTGCCTTGCAACAAAAACTTGATAATGTGCTAAGGGAAAGAAGATCGCACCTGGAAGATTTACTTCATATGAAGTGAGTTTTACAGAATTTAAAAAAAAAAGTATTTTAAAATTATTAAAGTTAAAAATATGATTTTAGGGGATGATATTTAAATTTCTCCCAAATCTAATGATTTTTTTTTTTTAATGAATTAATTTTTTATAGACAAGAAGCTTTGGAAGCTGCGCTGAGTGAAAAGGACGCTCACTTAGCTCTGTTGGAGGTGTCCGGTGTAAAAAATGCATTCCAAGCCGAGCAACTGGAGCGCCTGAAATCTGACCGCGCCAGACTGAAACTAAGACTGCAGTTTGAGGTACAGGAATATTATCCGAGCTGAAATGCATATTTTTATGTTAAATTTTTTAATGACAGACCGAACAGGCAGCTCGACTAATTCAGCAATTTAGTGAAGACGAGACTGCGATAAGTTCCGACCAGCTCTCAGGCCCTCCCTCCCACATTCTTCTGGATATGCTTCTCACCGAACAGATGGACGAAGACCTTCACGATGTTGACCAGGTTGGAGTTTTTAAAAAAAAAAATATTTTCATGTTATATTTGAAAACTTACTTCAGATGGAGCCAGACAGCCTTGACGAGTCTTCATCCCAACAAGAATCTGTGATGTTTGAGAAAAGTAAAACACTTGACTAAAAAGAATCTAAAAATCTGTGACTGGAACGAACAACCGAGTTCGGCTCTTTGTGTCTTGGTGTCTTATCTTCCCACTGCAGCAGAGTGCAAACACTATATAATTATTCTCACGATGTGTTGTTTCTCTCAAAGCAATAATCCGTTTCCTTGAAAAATACAACTGCTCTCTAAAAGGCGCTGCGAGTAAGAAGAGAGAACTGCGACTGTATCCCTTTGTTTCTGTGAAATCACCGTGTACTTAAAACGCAAAAAAAATATTTACACATAATAAACGGATCAAGTTCTTTCGGGCAGAGCTGTTGCACAAGACAAAGAAGGACTCTGGGATGAGAAGACACTGACAATAAAAACCAGCAGATCACGAAAACTCAAAAATCAGAATTTAAATAAAACGAGAAAAATAATTATAAATATATCAAGAATTTAACCGAACAAAAAAAAAAGAAACATGTTGTTGCAAGTTAGACGAGCAGTATCGTTGTCTTCCGTTGCAGGAAGTTGCTGTTTATTCAGAGTTTTTAATATCACTTTGTCATCGACACACACTACTATATACACTGTTTAAATTTTAGTGAACAACACAAGACGTTTGTAAATAATAATTATAACGTGCTACGCAAAAACCTAGTTTCTCGTCGAGTAATTAATATGAAAAATGCCACTAACTCTGTCGGATCGTTAGAAATCAAAGTGAGTAACAATATTCTTACATCTGTGGCCTACAAAATATTAAATGCACAACACACATCTTGATATTCATACATAAAAATATATGCATATATTTGTTTTGTAACCATCGTACCTTTAGTTGCGTAGTCTCTTGAATCACACTCCTCACACACGTTTGTATACTCTCTCTGTCTCTCTAATAACATGTGCTCTGGAAAATTGTATGTGCGTGTATATAAAAAAAAAATATCGATATATTAATTACTCTGCCCTAAAACTCTCTGACTCGTAGTTGTGAGCAAAACTTGAATAGATCGAGGAGCAAATCTGGTTTTCTTTGAGGGCCGAATCAATCTATTCGAAACAAAATTTTCCTCAACCAAAGTCGGATTTGCGAGAAAACTGTACACAAAAGTAGCGAGAAATTTGTATAAAAGAGAGGAAGCGATGAGTTTGTTTAAATATTTTGTTGAGAGTTGTACGTACGAGAACAAGATGAGTAACGTCTGTACTGTAATGCCAGGAATACACTGCCGTGTTATGTGCTTGAAGTGATTTGCTGCTAAACTGCACTTGTCGATAAGTGCATTGCAACAACATACAACAATGCATACCAAATGTATAGAAAAATTAACTGATAAGGAAAAAAACCACTTTCAATGGATTGTAATGAAGAAAAAAAACAATGACGATTTAACTAGTTAAGGTGCAGTGAACTTGCAGAGCGAAAAGAGTTTAATAATGATTGTGAACTACGCTGGCTGATTGAGAGAGAGTTTAAGAGTCGCGAGTTTGACCGAGTGTGTTTTGATCGTAGCACAACCCCTTTGCGATTTTAATCTCAAAAATGGTAAAAAAAAAATTCGAAGGGCGAATGGAACGGTCACATCTCAAACACAATCTTCTCCAATAATCGTTCACTCTAATCGCTTGTTAAATTTTTGTCGACACTGCTCTCTGAAAATATATAATTTTGCGACACTAGCGAAAATAACATGTTTAATGAAAACTTTGCAAGAAAATTTTCTATATATAAATACAAGGGATTTTTGTTTCGGAGTGGCACGTACAATTCACTTAATTAGGTTTAATGAAAATCAGAGCATATCTTTGTGTCACTCTGGGAATACGAAAAATTGCTGTTGTCTCATAGAAGAATATCTCAACTTTCCTCATCAATCATTAATTCTTGGTCCTCTTTGGCTTCAACGAAAGTCCCTATTTGTCACAGTCTCAGCACATTTTTGCACGCATCTCTGCATTTTTCTCGAGAAATCCAAGGTATATAAAAATGACCAACAATCATACACAAAACTCATTCGATTGATTTTATAAAAAGGGACAAAATACCAACACTGGAAATCGGTAGCTACGTGTAATGTTATCCAAAAAAATGTGCATGTGGTTACGCAGAGTGTTTTATTCCCGTGACCAAAAACTATTTAGTGACATTAAAAGAAGCAACGAGTAATAATTAGTGGTCGTCGTAAAAAGGAGGCGGAAGAATTAATTAATTAATTAACAAAAATATGAGAGAGACGAAACCGATCAAGAAAAGTATATCGTACTCTAAATATGGTGCACATTCAAATTGAGGTCAACTTAGGGCAATGATAATTAATTAAATATATATCACCGCAAATTTAATCTAAAGCAAAACTGATCACCATTTCAACACACCCTGTTGAGTCGTAAATTAAACCTGCAAGGTTTTAGTATGTGATAATCAACATTTTCACTTTTGATTGCGTTCGATTGATTGAGTGTTGCTATTCAAGAAGAATAATATATAAATGAGGATTAGTTGCTGTTAGGAAACGAGTAATTGTTACATAAAAATGGAAGCCCCCTTTGCGTTAAGTTATGTAGAGAGAGTAACTTACACGTTATAGTTTTTGAAACTGATTGAATATCTTGCTGATGTTTACCAATATAATGTGTAAAATGCGCGAACAGATTTTATTTTTCGTCTTCAAGGGTGACATTGTATATCTATAGGAAAAGCCTGATGTATAAAATACTCATCATGAAAAAAGAAAACGCAAAAAAGGAACTATTAAGAATATTAATAAAAAAAATTATTATATACCGAGATTAAAATAATAATAAAAATAATGATTTGTTGGTGAAACGTGTATTAAAAAGACGAGTCCAATTTGTCACACACATTACAACTGTTGGTAGTTTAAATAACGGAGTATGTAAAACTTACAAGTTGATTACATGATGCATTTAAAATTAAAAAAAAATTGTATGCATGACAAACTGAGTGTATATGAGCATTTATCAACACATTAAATTAAAACCTACATTAATTTTTAAGTTTTATTTTAAAGTTTTATCCTTATGGCGAGAAATATAAAAACTCATTTTTTTTTAATAAGTAGAAAATTTATCTAAGAGTTGCAGAAATCGATAATTTGCCAAATTAATTACAAAGTTCGCTTTCGATCACGTCTGCCATAAAGAGAAGCTGCTCCTTCCACAGAAGAGCAAGTTTCTGAGCTTCTTCTGGCCGGTCGAGGAGAGCGTTGTCGATGTTAAGACCAAGGCTTAATTCTCCATTGTAGCTCAGGATGCTCGCACCAACACCTAAATTATTTACACAAATAATTAAGTCATTAAATAATTATCAAAATTTATTTTTCCTAAAAAGGTAGAATTTGTTCAATAATTAATTTTTTACACACCTGTCGTTCCCTTGTTGGGCACCCAAAAGACCAACTTTTCCAATGGCAAGTCGAACAGAGAAATTTTCTTTTGCGGCCCTGGCATGTTGCTCATCGCAACCGTGCACTCCTTGCTGTCGAAGGCCACGGCAGCCAGTGGCCGAGGGCAGATGTCACCAACGAGCTTGATGATGAAGTTGTTGGTGACCAGCACGGCCGGATTGGTGGCGTTTTTCAGGGCCTGCTCAGCGGCCCGCACCTGCGCCACGACATCCTCTTCTTCCATCGCTGGGATTTTGTTGCCGACCACCGCAAGTGAAAATGAATTCGTCATCTGAAAATTTCAAAAATTATCAATTATTATTTTAATTCGAATTTAAAATTATTACGGAATATTATATTTATTTACAAAGTAAAATGTATCAAATGTATGTGGAAATAGAGATATCCCTTTTGTAAAAATAGTGAAACTGAATTCAATATAATATAGTAAATAAATTAAATAGATTAAAATTAAATATGCATTAATATTTTATAATTTAAAAATCTAAAAACTGTTAAAAATTAAATAAAACGAACAGTACAAACCTCAGGTACGTCTTCAGGGTTGAAGTTTTTGGTGGGAATGCGAACAGGAATAACGACTGTGCACGATTTTAATTTGTCTGAATTTTTGCTGTATTTCGCGACGGCGGCCAAAAACGAGGCGAGCAGACCGGCGCTGAAAGAGGCGCCCGTTGCAGTGTGAATTGATTTCGCAGCTTCCATCAATTGGCGTGAACTGCACCAGGCAATCTAAAAGTAAATTAATTTATTAAGAGAGAGATAAATTTAAAAAAGAATTATAAAATAATAATGAACACTAGATTTTTATCACCTGTTTCTTTCCTGTCAGTTTGGGCCCATGGAGCTTATTTTGGTCAGGGGCGAGCAAAAATTGACTCTTCAATGACCTTCCCACGGTCACAATATTGTCTAGGAAACTATCAAAAGCATCATTAATTATAATTTCTCGATTTGAAATTTCTAATCCAGACGAACCTATTTTGATTCCTCGTCTGAACTCGATCGACCATCTTCTTGATGGTCTCTGGGTTGGGTCTGAGCACGTGCATGTCACCGCTGTTTGCCAAAGTGGACAAAAGGGCTCTGAAGAGGGCCGGGCCGTCGCCCATCGAGTGATGGATGCGGAAAATAACAGCGCGGTGCATCTTTCCGCTGTACATGAGTTTCGGTCCCAGGTAGATTTCCCAGCCGGCAAGGTGGTTGAGCGGCAGTGGAGCATTGCTCAGGGTTGACAGCGTTTCTCTCAACTCCTCCTCGGTGACCACCTCGTCAAAGTCACAGTCGATGGTTTTGATGTAGTCGTCAAGGTTTAATTTCTAAAAAGATTTTAGAGTTAAAATTTTATTAAAATTGCCATAATTCAACAGAGATAATTCACCGCTACATATTTTTAAAGACATATATCTGTTTAGGCTATATTTTAATTGCAAAGTCCTCATCATATATTCCTAAGCAAGTAATTTTACTCATTTTTAAAATTTCAATTTTATTCAAGAAAGAAAAATTTAGAGGACATAAATTTTTTTCCTTAAATGAAAGATACTGATTTGCAAGGAAGACATGAAACTCAAATTTAAGTCAATTTTTTACGGAAAGATAATTTTGCTCAAATTTTTTTAATGAAATAAAATAACCATTTTATACACAATCTAACAGTGTTATTAAAGTATTATACAAAAAAAAATAAGCTCCTGAAAGTATAAAAAAAAATTTTAAGTAAAAAATAAATTAGATCCAGGAAAAATAAACCAAAATAATATTTATTTTTTGTTTGATAAATTTTTGTGCACCTGTTGGCCCTTCCAGAAAAAGTACCCCAGAGGCGAGTACTGTCGCAAATGCTTCAGTTTTTCGTGACAGGGAACCAGCTTCTCGGCAACAACAGTCTTCAATTGTTGCAGGCTGAGGTCACCTGAGACCACAGCCAGGACGTTGATCACGGCCAGGGAGCACGACTCGTCCGCGTCAACTGCCCATAGAACGTCGGCGCCTGCCAAGGTTTTGCCGCGGACGCAAAGTTTCACCAGCATTTTGTAGATGAGCAGGGTGCTGATGACGGGCAACGCCAAGACGAGGACGCTCAATATCGCCACAGTCCACACAATCCATTTTGATTTAATTAGTGACTGGAAAAATATCCATTGTTTGATGATCTTATAATTTTTTTCATTCCTATATTATAACATATGAGATTATACATATATTCTTTGTATACTTGAAACCAAGAATTATACAAATTGATATTTATTATGTATAAAAAAAGCCCACCTAACATGAGATTCTATAGGTATAATATAAAAAAAAATTATACACAATATCATAATTCAAAGGAGGAATACAAAAATTTACGTTATCAAAAATTAATTTTAAATAATATCAATAAACTTCTAAACTTCAATTCAACTTAATGAATTTTAATAATTTATAAAAGAAAATTTAAATCATCTATTTCATAAAAAAATTATTTATTTAAAACCTGATTGTGAAATGTATTTTATTTAACAAATTAAAATCTTGAGAACTTAAAAAAATAGAAAGATGAAAATTAGTGCAATTGGTGATTCAAATTCACCTTTCCAGTGCCACAGGATAGGATAAACAGGGCGCCAGTGGCTAAGCCAAGGGTTGACGGCGGCAATGGCCCCTGTCGATCCTCGTCGACCTGGAAAGGGTTGACGAAATCGCGATTGTTGAAGGCCGTGGGGTTGGTGAGGTTGTCCCAGAAGGGCAGAGGCCCGTAGCCAGAGTGGTTGAAGTAGGAAGTGTTCATGTCTCGGCGCGGTGTGCAGACCTCACGCCACTCGACTGCGAACTGCGACATGCAGACCCTTCTAGGGACGAAACCCTGTCCGGCGCTAAACTCGCTCAGTCCTACGGCCTCTCTCTCTTGACCGCGCGCGGTGGAAATTTAATTAGCAGCCAATAATACTGCAACTAACTCGCACAGAAAAGAGAAAAAAAGCGGAGACTTGATTGGATTTGAATTTTTTCACTTATTTGCGACGCAAAGAACTCAAGCAAAAAATACACTGAAAATTTAAGGAGATAAAAAAGGCGGTTTTAGCAAGAGGGCTTAGGTTCTTCCGTAGTCGCCATATTTGCGAGTTTAATTCCCTGGGGCATAATTTGCTGCCCACCTTTTTTTAACTCGCAATATTTAAATAGTTCGGCATTTTTCCACTTGAGCGCTTTCAAAAAAATTCAAAGGTCACTCTCGATCCACAGAGAATCCCACTTTCTATTTCCAAACTCATTGATTTATTTCCTAATAAATCAATGTCCCAACCTTGGTCCCAACCTCTGATGCACGCCAAATATCTTCAGTAGCTCAAATTCAAAAATTTGAACGGAGCGGATTTAAAAAAAAATTTGATCAGATTCTGAATCCCTGAATTTTTTAAACGCAACCTTGAATGAAAATTTAAGCACAATTAGAAGTTTTCTGGGAAAATCTAAATGAATTTAAAATGTATGAAAAAAATGGTGGGGCAATCAAAACATGATTAAAAGTAGAATTAAATATATCCTACACTTTCAATTTCAGCTCTAAATGTGCTTTGATAAGCTGATGATATCCTCAAAAACTGGCTGCAATTGTAATGTATAGAGAAAAAAGTGTTTATTTATTAAAAAATAAGAAAATAAATCAGTTTAAAAATTTAGCTAAAAATTCAACCCCTCATATAAGAATATTCCAATGCAATCCTAAATCAAATGGATGTTTTAATCCAGTAATATAATTTAATAGATAAGAATTATTGCTTATAATACTGAAAAATTATTCAACTTCAAATGTGTGTAATAGTAATTATGTTCAGGATAATGTCCTTTTAAAATAAAATGACCTAAAAGAACGTCATAATAATCACATAAAACAGAGGAAACATGTAACGCTCCTTCTCTTAGTTAATCCTATTATCTTTTATTGTCTTTTGTGAAACAAGAGAACCTTGAACATCACACAAAAGGAAGAAGTGCATGTTACCTGTTTGAAAGAAAATAATTTTATGGTTGGTGATTGAATAAAAAAAAACAGTTATCTCCGTTTTAATCAGCAAAATTGCAAGTAGTGTTCCTTTAATATGTTTCTTATCGGTGGAACAAAGGAATAAAAGCGTTGTTTCATGAATTGTTAAAAACTTAAATGTACACAAAGAGTTTCATGAACGACGACGAGAGTAGCCTAATACTTAAATAGTTTGTAATATTAATGATCAATATTCAGAGCAATATTTTAAGTCTTTTCTGCTACAGATAAATCGTGAAGGGACTATTGGTTATAGTGAAACTTTCTTTTTCTCCTTTCGAGTTGCGTTATTTTCCTCCTCCATGGCTAGATAATTTAATTTCTTTACTTTTTCGATGCACATGAAAATAAAATTATTACTCAAACGATTCGAGTCCAACTGCCCAAGGATGTGGGCAAATCATGAAATCATAGCGAAAGGCAGGACAATTAATTACGAAAATAAACGCACTCACTCCACTAGTCACTCTCGCTTTTGTCTCACTGCGCTTGCCACGGGCATTCAGATGACGGGAAAGGGGGCGCTCTGCAATCACCACATGCTATAGTCCAGGTCCTCGTTGTCGAACGTGATGAAGAAGCCAAGCATGGTAAGGTAGACAACCACGTTGCCGGCCAACACTAAGTAGCATGCGCCCCACTGGATCTGCACGACAAAAATAAAATAACTTTTATAAAAAAAAATTAAATAACTCAATGGAATATTAAAATTTTCTCAAAAATTAAAATTCTAAGAGAAAATTTTAATTGAAAAGCAGATAAAAAGTTACAATACTCATTGTTTATTGTGGCAGTTTTATTTACGGTTGCATTTTTATTAATAAAATGAGCAATTAACTTAATGAAAAACAAAACTTCTGATTTGACGAAATTCTAAAATTTAAAAAAAAGAGCCAACACCGATTTTCTTACAAAATCAATTTAAAATATGCCATATTTTTATTATTATTTAGAGTTGAGTAAACCAAAAACTTAATCATCGATTTAATTTTTTGTTTTTAACCGCTTTATGAAAATGTTTTTTTTTTAACATTGGGCTTGCTCAATAAAATTTTTCTCAAATTCAAACAAATAAATTGTTACCGTTGGGTCACCATCAGGAGATCTGGCCAGGACAATTGGAAGGGCAAAAGCTGAGACGACGAAACCCATAGTGATGAAAATTGACGACTCAAGGCAAGAATTGTTTGATCCAGAATCATTGTATCGTCGAGCGATGAGAGTTGGTATTGGAGATAAGCAGTAGAAGAGCAGCACAAACAAAGGCCACCAATTGCTGAAAATATTTGTCATTATATAGACGTGGTGTTTATGAACAAGGGCAAAGTATTTTTATTTAAATTCGGGCTCTCAGTTTGAGATTTGCAAAGAAATTAAATAAATATACCTGTACTGAGGAAGGGCACAGCCAAGGATGACCAAAGTCATTCCCACCGAACCGGCGAACGCCAATAATACAAGACTGAAAAAAAAGAAAGCTCATCATTTTTTTATTCAACTTGTGAATATTTGATAAAACTTACGCTGTTGGAAATAATTCCAGCGAGTGCAGCAAAGGTAGAATTATGGAAAAAGAGAACAATTTCAAAATGTTATTAATTGCAATTTATTTAATTAATGAAAATTCAGAAAAGTCACGTGCCAAACGTCAAATCAAATGTCATTAAAACACCTCATCGACGTCAACACCGAATTCGGAGAAGTTTAGTTTTGTCTGAAAAGTAGCGACTTGGGTGTGGATATGTTCGGACAACTGCCAGACGTGAAGACTTGGCATTGAAGTCAATTCTCCACAAATCGGTTCGGCAAAAAACACGTTGGCACGGACGAAAAATAGCGTCGAAAATCGATAGATTTTACCTTTGATGCCTGCCATCTTGCTGGGTAGGTAAACTTTTCGGCAGCAGGATCAGTTTTAAAAGCCGTCTGTTTACGGTGGTTTACTAGTTATTGGCCACTTATCAGTTTCTGGCCACTTTATAAAACATGCAAAAATGCGCACGCATCGTTCAGAAATCCAATAGTGGCCAGAAACAGGTCACTGACCAAAGTGACGTCACGCGTCAGCAGACTTGCAGAATCCAGTGCGAATTTGTTTGAGCTGCGCAGAACTTAAAAAGGGTGTTCTGCGCACTGCTTTGAAGGAGAAAGAGCAACAATCGAGAGCATTCCTTTTGAACCAATCAAAAGAGACCACTGCAGTGATCAGAAGGAAGCCAGTCTCCGAATTTAGTCCGCACAAAGTCTTAAATCTTGAAAGAATCCGAAATGTCGGCTGGAAATAAGTGAGTATTTTTCAAATCAGAATGAAATTCAACGTCTATGGCCGAATTTTGGTCAAAATCGGCTTTCGGGAAGGGCCGGAATTCGAATTTTGAAACGGGGTTGCCGGTCGCTAAGTCACGAATTTCACATTGTCATCGTGGCGTTTGTCATCTGTTTTTCCGCATTTTGCCGAATTTCGACCGAATTTCATCTTTTTCAGCCAATTTATTACACAAACGAGGTCGTTCGACAAAATTCTGACTTTCCTCTTTCATTTTTCTTGCAACTTTTCAAACGGCCGTTGGCCAAAATGAATCGGCGAATTCTTGGATTGCGCTCCATGGAGTTCACTCTCAGAGATTCTGGGGCATCACCATTGCAAGTCATCGAATGAACGTTCGCGAAAATTTCTCAGAATTACTTCCACTTGCATCAGACACCGCCTGCTGAGAAACACGGAAATAAAAATTCTTGAGCAACATTTTGAAAACATAAAATTCTTCGACCGAAATTTGAAAATGACAGCCATTACGGGGTTATTGACACCTGGGCAAGGTTGCAAAGGAAGCGGTTGCATGAGTGGTTGCGAAAGATTAAAAAATTAAACCTGTCGCTTTTAAAACTATGATGCCTGATTAATTACAAACTGACCCCGATCGACTCGAATCGCTCAGTCACAGTTTTATTTTTATGAATTAGGTTAATATTGGCTAATGTCTAATGTGTGATTTAATTGTTTCACAGCCCTGATGATTTGGCTACCGCAATCCTCCGTCGCAAAGACCGTCCCAACAGACTCATTGTTGAGGAGGCCAGCAACGATGACAACTCGGTCGTCGCCCTTTCACAAGTATAATTTTTTTTTATAATATTTGAAACTTTGTTTCATTCTTGCTATGTAGGCAAAAATGGACGAGCTTCAGCTCTTCCGAGGAGATACAGTTCTCATCAAGGGCAAACGCAGGAAAGAGACTGTGTGCATAGTTCTCTCAGATGACAACTGCCCTGATGAGAAAATCCGCATGAACAGAGTGGTAAGTCATGGTGTCAACTTGAATATAAATCTCAGCCGAGAAGTCTAAGACCCGTTATAATTAATGTTTTCATTTGAAAATTTAGGTCAGAAACAACCTCAGGGTCCATCTGTCAGATTTGGTGTCAGTGCAGGCTTGCCCTGATGTCAAGTACGGCAAGCGCATCCACGTTTTGCCCATTGATGACACAATAGAAGGTCTCACAGGGTATGTTTTCCTTTTATACAAGTAAGACGTTATCTAACTGAAATCTGCAAACAGAAACCTGTTTGAAGTGTATCTGCAGCCGTACTTCATGGAGGCGTACAGGCCAGTGCACAAGGATGACATGCTCATAGTGCGTGGTGGCATGCGTGCGGTTGAATTCAAGGTTGTTGAGACTGATCCTTCACCCTTCTGCATTGTGGCCCCAGACACTGTCATCCACTGCGAGGGAGAAGCCATCAAACGTGAAGTAAGATTTAATGTGAATTCTGCACACAAATTAAATTTTTAGTGAATTCTCCTTTTGAACTTTTTTAAAGATTATTATTGTTGTTTATTTGTCCAAATTTTTGCATCACATTGTTCACATACAATTGTTGAAAAAATTTATTTAAGAAAAAAAATGGAATTGTTGGACAAAACGGCACCGCCGTTAGCAAGAAGATAGATGTAATGAGTGCCATGTAATTTTTTAAGGAAGAAGAGGAGAAGTTGAATGCAGTTGGATACGATGACATCGGAGGTTGTCGCAAACAGCTGGCCCAGATCAAAGAGATGGTGGAACTGCCTCTGCGGCACCCATCCCTCTTCAAGGCCATCGGTGTCAAGCCACCCCGTGGTATCTTGCTGTACGGCCCTCCCGGCACTGGCAAAACTCTGATCGCCCGAGCTGTGGCCAACGAAACTGGAGCTTTCTTTTTCCTGATCAACGGTCCGGAAATCATGAGCAAACTGGCTGGAGAATCAGAAAGCAATCTTCGCAAGGCTTTTGAAGAGGCGGACAAAAACTCTCCTGCTATCATCTTCATCGACGAGCTTGACGCTATTGCTCCAAAGAGAGAAAAGGTTAATATTTTTTTTTGAAATAGTTTTTTTCAGTCATTTTATTAAATATCTCTAGACCCACGGAGAGGTCGAGCGACGCATCGTGTCACAGCTGCTGACCCTTATGGATGGCCTGAAGCAGAACTCTCATGTCATCGTCATGGCTGCCACCAACAGACCAAACTCCATTGATGCTGCTCTCAGGCGGTTTGGACGATTTGACCGTGAAATTGATATTGGCATTCCTGATGCTATTGGCCGTCTGGAAATTTTGAGGATTCACACAAAGAACGTCAAGCTTGCTGATGACGTTGATCTCGAACAGGTAAATTGACTAAATTAAAAGTAAAAATAAGTTTTAAATGTTTTTCTCTTCAGATTGCAGCTGAAACTCATGGTCACGTCGGTGCTGATGTTGCTTCTCTCTGCTCTGAAGCTGCCTTACAACAGATTCGTGAGAAGATGGACTTGATCGATTTGGAGGACGACCAGATTGATGCTGAAATTTTGAACGCTCTTGCTGTCTCCATGGACAACTTCAGAGTATGATGATTAATCTTGCATAAAAATTTCTGCAACTAATTTTTGTTTGCATTGCAATAGTATGCCATGGGCAAGAGCACTCCCAGCGCTCTGCGTGAGACAATCGTGGAGGTGCCCAACATTACTTGGGAGGACATCGGAGGTCTTGAGAATGTCAAGCGTGAGTTGCAGGAACTGGTGCAATACCCTGTCGAACATCCAGACAAATTCCTCAAGTTTGGCATGCAACCGTCTCGAGGTGTGCTCTTCTATGGCCCACCTGGTTGCGGCAAGACCTTGCTCGCCAAGGCCATTGCAAACGAGTGTCAGGCCAACTTCATCTCTGTCAAGGGACCTGAACTGCTCACTATGTGGTTTGGTGAATCTGAGGCCAACGTCAGGGATGTCTTTGATAAGGTACAAGAAATCAATATTGTTTAAAAAAATCGATGTTTCTAAATTTTCAAAAATTTAATCGCTCAATGTTCATATTTAGGCTCGTTCTGCTGCCCCTTGTGTGTTGTTCTTCGACGAGTTGGATTCCATCGCTAAGTCTCGTGGTGGCAATGTGGGAGATGCTGGTGGTGCCGCCGACAGAGTTATCAACCAAATCCTCACAGAAATGGACGGTATGGGAGCTAAAAAGAACGTCTTCATTATTGGAGCCACAAACAGACCTGGTCAGTTACTTTTATTCTGGAAAAATTGTGTTTTATTTCATTTTCGTAATTATGCAGACATCATTGACCCTGCAATTCTGCGTCCTGGCCGTCTGGATCAGCTCATCTACATTCCTCTCCCTGATGAAAAGTCCAGGGAGGCCATCTTTAGATCAGGACTGCGCAAGTCCCCTGTTGCAAAGGACGTCGATCTGCCCTACATTGCCAAAGTGACTGCAGGTTTCTCTGGCGCTGACTTGACTGAAGTTTGCCAACGAGCTGTCAAGTTGGCCATCAGGCAGAGCATTGAAGCTGAGATTCGCAGGGAGAGAGAAAGGGCTGCTGGTCAGGCCATGGAGGTCAGTCTGATTTGAAAGTCTAATATTTTTGAAATGGAATAACCGACATATTTTTGCAGATGGACGACGAAGACCCGGTGCCTGAGATCACAAAGGCTCACTTCGAGGAGGCGATGCGTTTCGCCCGTCGTTCAGTGTCTGACAATGATATCCGCAGATACGAGATGTTCTCCCAAACCCTTCAGCAGTCACGAGGATTCGGCACCAACTTCCGATTCCCCGCTGCCACTGGCAACGCCAGCAACCAGTCTCAGGGTGGTACAGGAGGAGCTCCTGACCGAGATCAAGCTGCGTTCCAAGACGAAGAGGACGACCTGTATGGTTAAGCTGCAACGCATCGGCTTAGGTTCAATGAATGCCTGGATTAGTTAAATTTATCCACTATCTAATTGTTCAGTTATCTTCATTCAATAAGTTGCGACAAGTCTCCGCGTGTAATTCATTTAACAAAGACATGCTATTTTCAAGTATAATTATTATCATGGTTGTCATTATTTGCCTTGATTCGAGTGTCGTAATTTATTCTCTACATCGCCATGCAGTTGGAGACATGGAATTTTCTTCATTCTAGTTTTGCAGCTTGATTTTTATATGCATTTCTAAGTTAGGCTGTCAAAAATGGTATTGCAGAAGGACAACACGAACATTGTATGCACTTTGAAATAAAAGCTTACAAAAATGTATTACTTTTAATGCCACCTTGAAAATCCTTAATAAATAGTTATAATGAAGCAAACAAAAGGAATGAAAGAAATAGAAAATTCATTTTTAAAATTGAAATATATGTTTTATTGGTTCTTCTTGCTATATTTAATTTTGTTTTTAAACTTCTTGGGATTAATTCCATAAGCCTTAAGCCTAGCATCTGACAAATCTTCCACACTGCTGGGTTTAGATTCTGAAAATCTCTTCTTGCTCTTGAAGGGCCTTTTAGCTTTCGGCTCGTCACTTGGTGGGCGTCCCTCATTCTTTCGCTTCAACTTGGGTTTCTTCACAATTGAATTAGATTTGGGAATGTTTTGCTTTAATGGCTCTGGGATTTCCTTGGGGTTTTCAGAGGGAACATTTTGCAACGTGGTTCCATTAGCACTTTTCTTTTTCTTCAACTTGGATTTTTTCACAAGTGATTCGGATTCGGGAATAGTCTGCTCCTCTAGCATCTCTTGCACATCTGGATTTTCAGGGGGCTCTTGAACTTCTTGCTCCGGAATTCCATTTGCAGCCTTCTTTTTATTTTTCTTTTTCTTCTTTTTCCTTGGCTTTTCATCTATAACATTCTCTTCTTCAACCTCACTGAAATTTTAGAAAGAAAGAAATGATTATTTTAATCAAGATCTTACTCAAATGTTGACTTACTTTTTGAACAGACTGGGCAAAATCTTTCTTTTAAGCTCTTCAAGGTTGGCTTTTTTACCGTATGCCTGGACATCGTAATATTCTTTATCTTCATTTCTGTACTGGCAAGTTTTCTTTAGCGAGCACCACCGATTGAGTTCCTTGTCATCAGCCATCAAAATCTGAAAAGTACGAAGTTTAGCATATTTTGCTTCATCAAACAAAAAAGATTTGAACCTCTTCTATTGTCAGCCCAAAAGAATTCGGCACAACTTCTCTGTATTTGAATCTGCACGGTTGGTCTCCAACAATGTCCTCATAATCCAGGCCGTAGTATTCGTCCATGTATTTGTCGATTTCTTGCTTTTCACGATCAAACGACGGCTTCTTCTTAGCCAGGAGCTCCGCCAGTTTTGACCTCTTTTTCTTCTTCTTTCTCCCAGTCTGATTTTCAAGCATTTCTTGTTGGAATGCCTTATTTTTAGGGTCAAAGTCACAGTCCATATTGAAATCAGGATCTTCGCAATGCACCTCCGAATTCGAAGGTCCTTCTCCATCATCTCCGTCAAACTCATCCCAATTCTCTGTAATAAAATATTGATTGAAAATAAAATTTCAATACTTTTTTTAATCAAAATACCAAGTTCAAGCTCTTTGTCCAAATCAGGAAACTCTGGCTTTTCTTCCTCTTCTCCCCCAGCATGATAGAACTCTTCATCGAACAAACTTTGCATTTTCTTGTCATGCTTCTCTGGATCAAAATCTTCGTCAAAGTCCATACCCTATATTTGAAAATTTTAATTACATTTTCACATAATTTAAATTCCAACCTCAAATTGAATATCGGCATTTCCAGTAACTTCCTTAAGTTTGCTTAGTCTCTCCTCGATCTCTTTCCTCTTGATGGCCTTCAGCTGCTTTAACTCCTGCCGTTTCTGCTCTTTTTCTCTTTGCTTTCGTTCTTTCAGCTCCTCTCTGTGCTGTTTCCTTCGATCATCCTTGTTTCGCAGAGATCCAGTCATTGTACGAGGGTAGCGTTTTAGAAACTCTTGGTCGGGCTCTTCAAATCGGAAGTTGTACTTGTGCTCAAACATCTCCATTTTCTCCTCCATTTCCTCATCTCCAGATGATTCGTCCGAATCATGTGCCATCTCGGCAAGAGGTCTCTTTCTTTTAGACTCCTCAGCACCCAAATATCTAAGGTTTAATCAATTGTTTGAAATATTTAAGGGAAATGTTTTTAGAAAAACCTTTTGTTAAGAATGTAGTCCCTTAGAAAAGCCTCTCCCTCCTCAAGTTTTGGGTTTGTCCAGTATGACTTCAAAGCCCCCAACTCAGACTCTTCCTCTTTGTTTTCTAATGCGTCCTTCTGTCCCTTGAGCCATAGTCTGTAATCTTCCTCTTCTTTTTCCTTTTTAGATAAAATTAATTTTTTTAAAAGAATAATTATGATAAATCGATTTTAAAAGCTACCTCTTCGGCGTCAGTCTTCTTCTTTGGTTTGAAAAGACCTGCAATGCCATCATCGTCTTCGTCGTAGTCTCTCAGAGCATCTTTGAAACTCTCTCTTATCTCTTGCTGCTCTTGTACAAAAGTTGGTGATGCAGAGCGGTCAGGTTCATCTTGAAAAATTAAGGTTATGTAAAATAAATAATTTTTTAATGTTGCTTTAGAAATACCCTCTTCTTCGTCACTGCTAATGTGGCCCCGGCCACCTGTCTCAAGCAGCATTTTCCTCTCATAGTCTCTCAGGAACATTGGCTTTTCCTTTTTCTCTTTCTTGCCCTTTTCACTACTTTCTCCTGCCTCTCCAGACTTGATGAAAAATCTGGTGTTAGCATCGTAAATGCGTGGATCTTTTTTCTTCAGGCAAGCTAGAGTCTTGAAAAATTGCTTTTCAACATCAACCGTGAGCTCCTGATAAACAAACGTGGAATCAATTATAATTTGTTATCAGATTATTTTTTACAACCTTGGCGTCCTCATCCTCATCCGTGGATGAAGAATCGTCTTCGTCATCGGGAGCATCAAGCTTTAATGCATTTTCTCCATACCGATCCGTGACTGAAATTGGCCAAAGTTAAGAATTCATTTAATTAGGTTTTTACAAAGCAAAATCCTACATTTTTGAATTTCTTCCTTTCCTCTCCACTTTTCGTATCGTTGCGCGTAGTTTTCATTGATTTTCAGCGAGATATCTTCGTCTGAATCACTGCCATCCAGCAAATTTTTTGCTTTTCTCTTTTCCATGCTGCTTTTGCCAGCCATGTTTGTTTACTTCAAAAAACACATGGGCGAAAATGGCGAGTTGTGATTGGTGGATTCGGGCACGTTAAGCTGGATGCATAACATGCAGGGTGACACGATGTTATAAATAATTGTAAAAGTTATTACATATTCATCAATCTATAGAATAAAGAATCATGATTTAAAAATCGGAAACTTATTTGTACTCTGATTATTTTTTCTTTAAAATTTGAATAAAAATTTTTTTTTATTCCATTCAGCAGCTTTTATTTTGACAAGGGCTTTTGATGGGTACATTCCAAAAAACTCAAATTAGGTGCAGACTGTGCCAACGACTGTGCAGTACACAAAGATTGGCTTGAATTTTGAATTCCGTGACATCGGATGCAAATTTCTGAAGTCTTCCATACACGAAATGAAGACAAAACAGAGCAGCTTCTTTACAATATAGACAGCAGTGCACAAAATATATACTTTTTCGCCAGGATTAACATTAAAATTTGTTTCAGATAAGCTTTTTCTAAGTCCGAGGAAATCATGAACAAACACATTCAAATTAGCTTTTTTAATTAATGGAAAAAATAATGCGAAGCACTTTTGGAACAGCTGTGGTTCTCAATTTCAGTGGCTCTCTCCCTTTTTGCCAGCCACTCTCTTGAACTCTCCCATGTTGGTCGTGCCAATCGGGGAGCCAAGGATGACTAAGTGGTCGATTTGCGTCGTCTCCGTTCCTGCCTGGTTGCTCTTGATGAAGAGCTGCAGGTTCAGGACGTTCTGGAATTTCACAAAGCGCAGATTCACGGGGACACCCTCCAAGTCTTTTTGAGTCAGTCTGAGAAAGAAATTGAAATTGGTTGTAAGGAAAGTTAGCTTTTAGAAATGGGGATAAATTACTCAATTTCCTGAACAGCCTGGTTGGACTCGGCAGCGTCGAAGTCGAGCGTGCGAGGCTGGTTGATGAAAAGCTTGATTTGCTTCGGTCCTTTGTCCTGAGGGCCTTTGATTTTGACCGAGTGGACTTTGACAGCTTGATTGAAGGAAATGTTGATAATGAGCTGCAATTTTGTAAGAACATTTTAGTTTAATAAAATGTAGATATGATTTCATAGAAGCGATGAAAAATTATTGAACTAGGAAAAATTAAGAATTATTATCCAAGTTATTTAAAAATCAAAAGCATTTTACAAGAAAAGGAAATCATGAAATCAATTGTCAATTTAAATTAATAAAAATGGAAAATTTGCATTATTTTTAAAGGTTGATTTGAAACAGTACGTGTAAATTAAAGTGAAGCAAAGTTTAAAAAGACAAATACTGGAAATTTCCTAAAAAAAGAAAAATACTTCAATTTACTCAAGTTTTGATGCGATTCAAATTATAATTTTTGATTACCTGCTCATCACAGTCAGACTCTAAATAGCCACCGGCACTAGTAAGGCAATGAGGGAACGGATGGTCGTCGGATTCGTTCATGCACTCGCACTCCTGCTTCATGATGAAAGTGTTCAAATCCATCTGCAAATCAAAATTGTATAAATCAATCTTTGCCTTCTTGCAAAATTTGGAGGGTCATTTACATGTCCGGCTACTCCGGATTCCTCCTCGACCTCCTCGCTGCCGTAATACTGCTGGACTTTGGCCTCGAGGGCGTTGGGGTCGGCGCCCTGCAGTCTGTCCAGTTTCACTCTGTTCCTGTAGAAGATGAACGTCGGCATGGCCGTGACCCCTTGACTGCCGGCCGTCTCCTGGCACTCGTCCACGTCCACCTTGAGGAAGACTGCCCTCGGGTACTTGGTGGCCAAAGACTCAAAGATCGGGGCCATCCTCTGACACGGACCACACCTAAAAAGTATCGACGAGTCAGTCAAATATTTATTTTTGATACGCGATATACATGACCCAGAGTGGAGCCCTTCACACCAATTAGGGTGATGAAATTATTAGCAATAATACATAATTGATCCAATTAATTAAAACAACAAACCTTCCTATGTGCGAGAAGGAAATCAGCTTTTCTTAATTTTGAATTTAAATTATGAATAATTCGAATAATTACAAAAAATCTCTGTTCTATTTTAGAATAATACACCAGAGTTCAATTTATGATTGAATTCTTCCACGAATTTTTAAGTTGGAGGCATTCAAAATTAAATTCTTCAGAATGTCATACCAAGTTGCAGTGAAATCGACGACCACAAGTTTGACGCCCGCCGAAGTGAGTTCGGCCTGGAACATCGCGTCGTCAGCCACAACCCGCACCATTTTTCCTGCAGATAATCCTCGAGTCAGTCAAGTTGTGTGGGAAGAAATCTCGCCCGAGAAAATCTGCAAAACGAGGAAGAGAGGTCGAGAGATGACACAGCTTGATTGCCGATGACTGCAGATGAAAACAAGTCACTCTGACGCATGCCGAGTCGCGCTTGCTACGTCACGCCATTTAAACTGGATTGGCGCGATAAACGCGTGTCCATAAAAAAAGACATTTTGAGAGCCAAGAATAAAGCAAAAAATTGAAAAAAAAAAAAAAAAAAGGAGAAAATATGAGATTTCTCTAGAGCTGAAGATATAAGTATGATTAGTAATGCAGAGCATATATAAATGATAAAAGTCGCAAGCACAAATTATGAGTCTGATATTTGAGAAAACAGATTAAAATTTCAGACCTCTCTCGGTAGCGGAAATGTATCTATTTTATAATCTTCAAATTTTTGTTTATAGTTAAGAAGTTGGAACTCGAGGACTAGTTCAAGGAGTGAAAATACATGGGATTTTTCTTTTTTCTAAAAATTATCATAAATATAAAGAAATAAACGGTAATAAATAAATAAATAACACCTAGGCTAACTGCAATCACAGACGCAAGGACACATATAAATCTTCTTGCACACCTTTAAAACAAGACAAAGAGCGCCTGTTTAAATTTTCCCTTTGCGCAAATCTGTGATGTATTGTGAATAAGAATGAAAGTTATTTTAATTAAATGCATATGTTAAGATTGAAAAAAAATATTGATAATTTAATGTGCCAATTTTTCAATCAGTTTTCTTGTTTCTTGGGTGTGATTTGAATTTTCTCCTCTCAATTTCTGCAAGTCTGTAGAATTGGTTCCTGGTCCACACGTTTCCACAACCTGGAGAGATCCTTGCTTGTCATTTTCCTTCCTCGTTTCTGCCTTTCAATGATGGTAAAAATGACGTAGGCATTCCTCGGCACTGCCAGAAGTTTGGTAGGAGGAGGTAGGGCCAAAACCATAGCTGATGGCGTTGCTGGTGGGTTGCCTAGCCTGGGGCTCAACGAAGCAGAACTGCTGCCGCAGCTGATTGGTGGCAGCAACGAAGATCAAAGATGAATCAGGGTTGAGCCTGCGGATCTTCTTTGCAGGCTCTCCTTCAGGTTCTGCTTCGGGGCGCCTCTTCTCTTTGTCTTGGTTTCCAATGCCTCGCTGCCGTTGAAAAAATTATTCAAATCTTCCAAAACATAAAATTCTTTTTTTTTTGTCCATCATCCTTTACTTTCTTTACATAAATTTTGAGACTTTTGATTTAACACTTAAAATTAACTTGTATTTTTCATTTTTCCAATTTTTAATTATCACTCTTGTTCATTTCACGAATCAACAAATTTTTCAGTTACCTGGCACTCTTCTTGGTGTCAGCGATAACAACCGTTGATGAACTCTTCCAAGCAGCGAGTCCTCGACCAAGTCGTCGGGGCCAAGTTGGCCCCGAGCATCAAGGGTGTTGGCGTGCTCGTCTGACTCGGACTCTTTTCCTGAAGATGAAATTTAAAGAAAACTATTGTTGGTTTGCACTAAACGATCGAACACAAATAATTAGAAAAAAGCATATTATAAAGCTGATGAAACAACAATAAACATTTGATTAGAGCTCATAGTGCTTTTTGTAATTATTGGTGTTCAATTATTAAGCCTAAACAATGGCTGAATTAAAATTTAATTTCTACATAAGGTCAAAATATTAATTTTACGGATTTGCTTAATTTAATCACATTGTCCAAAATAATATTTATTGCCTTTTAGTAAAATTGCATAAATTCAATAAATTCTGTAAAAAAAAAAATAAAAAATGTGTTATTTCTTTCCTCTTTTCAAATTTCTTTATCAACCAAAAGATGCTTTATCCAAATAATTGTTATGTTTAAAACAAATAGTCAATATATTGCCATGCGCTTTAAATACTTGAAAAAAATTTTCTATCAATATTTTATTCACGGCCGCGGCACCCTTTCGCCGGCAAACGAGCAGAGAGTTATGCCCCTCTACATGCAACTCAGGTACACCGACCTTTTATTTTTCAAAAAGTGCCTGAGCGGCGAGACTGATTTTGACGCGCGCGCCCGAATCATCGAGGGCCGAGTGCTGCAAGGCGACTATATCCCCGACTCCAGCCACCCCCGGTCTGAGGTGTGTTCGGCCGGCGCGCTTTTTCTTTCAGGGTCGTCAAGGCCTGGAATGACCTGCCACCGACCCTCAAAGACTGCCCAACGAGCAATTTTCCCTCCTATTGCCAGCAGCATTTGTGGCAGCAATTTTAGGCTGGTTTCCAATTCGCCATTACGTTATTCGTTTACGCATTACGTTGTTCGTTTTGCCAAGGAAATCGTATAAGCCGTTTCCAATTCACCAAAACGATACACGTAAACGGAATCCGAGTACAGCAAAACGTATAAGCGGTTTCCGATTCGCCAAAACGTACTCCGTAAACGTATTACGAGTGCCGACAGTGGTTTCCAATTCGCCAAAACGGACTCCGTAAACGTATTACGAGTGCCGACAGTGGTTTCCAATTCTCCAAAACGTAGTACGTTTACGTGCAACTCATTACGAGCACCAAACGTGCTTCATACGTGATACGTACGTCGTTTTAATAAAAGTGCAATTCTGAATAATTATAATTGGTGCTTGTAATGAATTCTTAATTATATCATCCATTTGAGTATTAAGTCCTTCAATTAGAGTTAATTTTCCACCAATTAAGTTAATTCGGTTATGGGGGTGAGCAGGGGTGAGTTGAAGGAAATTAGTTTTATGTCAAGTGCGTAACATGATTATAGGCTAAAATTTTGTGAGGAAATCAATGGTGTATATGATTTTAATGAAAAATGTTAATTTCAACCCTTAATTAGCAATTAACTCGAATACAAACAAATTGAAGTGCAATACATGACTTTAGGGTGAAATTTGAAGCCCAAGCGATTGCCAGCATAAATTTTGCGCTATCAATTTAATTTCATCCCCTAAATTGAAATATAATGATGTCCACACAAATTTTAGAGCGAGACATGTTTAAATGGTAAAATTTGACGCCAGATCGTTTGCCAGAAGTGATTTTGCTCTACAAATTTAATTTCAACCCCTAATTTGAAATTAAGTGAAATTAACAACAATTTCAGAGCGAGATATGTTTGAGTGGTTAAATTTGACGCCAGATCGTTTGCTAGAAGTGATTTTGCTCTAAAAATTTAATTTCAACCCCTAATTTGAAATTACTCAAAATTAACAACAATTTCAGAGAGAGACATGTTAAAGTGGTAAAATTTGACGCCATATTGTTTGCGAGAAGTTATTTTGCTCTAAAAATTTAATATCAACCCCTATTTGAAATTATATGAAATTAACAACAATTTAAGAGCGAGACTTGATGATATGAGTTGAATTTAGCGAATTTAGAATTTAGAGCCACATTGATTGCCATACTTAACTAAAAAATTCAAACATTAGTTAATAAATAAGGAAATCAGGGGTTGAAATTGAAATTAAGCAAATTAAGTGCAAAATAACATTTGAAAATCAATCTAGCATTAAAATTACATACATAAAACAACTATCGCTCTTAAATTGTGGTTAATTCCATAAAATTACGAATTAGGGGTTGAAAATTAATTAAATAAATAGTATTTTCCAAATTTTCCCTGGCAATCGGCCTGGCTTTGAAATCTACCAATAAAAAATGTCTCGCTCTCAAATTGTTGTTAATTTCACGTTATTTCAAATTAGGGGTTGAAATTAAATTTGTAGAGCAAAATCACTTCTGGCAAACGATCTGGCGTCAAATTTTACCATTTAAACATGTCTCGCTCTAAAATTTGTGTGGACATCATTATATTTCAATTTAGGGGATGAAATTAAATTGATAGCGCAAAATTTATGCTGGCAATCGCTTGGGCTTCAAATTTCACCCTAAAGTCATGTATTGCACTTCAATTTGTTTGTATTCGAGTTAATTGCTAATTAAGGGTTGAAATTAACATTTTTCATTAAAATCATATACACCATTGATTTCCTCACAAAATTTTAGCCTATAATCATGTTACGCACTTGACATAAAACTAATTTCCTTCAACTCACCCCTGCTCACCCCCATAACCGAATTAACTTAATTGGTGGAAAATTAACTCTAATTGAAGGACTTAATACTCAAATGGATGATATAATTAAGAATTCATTACAAGCACCAATTATAATTATTCAGAATTGCACTTTTATTAAAACGACGTACGTATCACGTATGAAGCACGTTTGGTGCTCGTAATGAGTTGCACGTAAACGTACTACGTTTTGGAGAATTGGAAACCACTGTCGGCACTCGTAATACGTTTACGGAGTCCGTTTTGGCGAATTGGAAACCACTGTCGGCACTCGTAATACGTTTACGGAGTACGTTTTGGCGAATCGGAAACCGCTTATACGTTTTGCTGTACTCGGATTCCGTTTACGTGTATCGTTTTGGTGAATTGGAAACGGCTTATACGATTTCCTTGGCAAAACGAACAACGTAATGCGTAAACGAATAACGTAATGGCGAATTGGAAACCAGCCTTAGTTTAGTGATCAATTTTTTTAAATATAAAATAAAATAGCAAAAAAATAATATTTTGTCAGAAAATAATCACATACTTCCCCAGTATTACAATTTTGCTTCTCACAATAAATCATTTAATTAATTTTCAAATAATTAAATTACCTTTTTACTGTCTTCTTCTGAGAAGTTGCACATACTTTGATGACTTTTTCCAAGAGATGGGTTGACGAGCTCCGCTCCTTGTAATTTTGCATGCTCCGGGGATTCCGGGAAGAATTCCGCTCCACTCGTCACCAGCGGCGTGTCCTCAACGACCTCAAAAAATGCCTCTACCTCCATCTCTTGGCCCTTTGGCAGGTTGTCCGCCGAGGCTCCCGAGTGCATGCACACCACCGATGGATTACCAGCACAATTAACATGCTGCATGCACTCGCAGACCAGCACAACCTGCAGATTTCTTTGTTTTTTTTTACCCATTTCATTTTAAATTCCCATATTACCGTGGTCCGAGGCTGGCCACTGAAAGTGTCCATGCCGATCCTCGTCGGGCTTTCAGATGGCGTCAGCCCGGTCTGCGAGGGACAGGGTTGCCCATATTCGTCCCCCACAGACGCGAGCAGAGCAGACACTCTCACCGTTCGGCCTCATCTCCTGATATCTTGCCGGAGGACAGGAGACAGGACCGTCCGCGTTCGGGGTGGAAATCACGTCGAGGGTGGGAATCAGCAGGTTCAGGTCATCGTCCTGCTCGACGCTCTCCTCACCCTGACGATGAGCGCGGTGGTTTCCACTTGACTCGATTGAAAAAATTATTCATTTGTGAAAAATTCAGAAAAGAATTTAAAAATTTGGACAAAATTCTTGACGATCAACTGTTGATAACGGTTCATTTGAAAATGTGAGCAGTGTTGAATAATGAACTGGATTTCCGTTACAAAAAAGTGATTGTTGAGCGACTTGTGCGATCGCGATCTTTGGTCAGGTGGGGGGGGGGGAGGGGGATGGTCTAGAAATTGTAAATAAAATCTTTTGTGCACGCACTGCATCATGAATTTTTTTAAGTTGCGGGAAAATTGGCGTAAATCTTTCCACTCTGCGAATGCGAGAATAGAAATGTTTTTGTTTATGTTTAGCAGAACTTTTTATTTTTATTCGTTTGCGATAATTTTTTTTCAACCGCGAGATGGCGTTGTGTGTTTTCCGCGGAGGGAGGGGAAAAATCAAGAGAGCGCGATCTCGGCAGGTTGCTCGGCAGCTTCATACCCCAGCTGCCAAAATCGAAAAATTATCCGGATATTACCCTCTCTGGAGAGGATAATATCCGGATAAAAGTCAGTTTTGGCAACTGGGGTAGTGGCACTATTGTTTTCGTATTTTTTAATGCATGATATAATTATCTTCAGACACTAACGACCGCAATAGCCTGCCGAGGATAGAGTAAATCTGGGCAGTCGCGTGATTATGCTAGCTTTTGTCTCTTTGATTTAGCTGATGCCACTCTGAACTCTGACGCATGCCGGCCGAGTCGCTGTTGCTTTACGTATACGTCACGCCGATTTAACATGTTTTGCGAAAAAAAGTGTGCCCATAAAAAAGCTATGTAGTTTAAAAATAAACAATTTTGCTTTTCAATTAAGTGTTTTTACACTCAATGAGATGTTCATGGATTGAAAATAGAATTCATTTTCGTGGTTTAAAAACTGATTTCAATTTTTTTTTTATAATTCATAAGCGTTTAAATAAATACATATATTAGAAAAATTAAAAACATGTCCAAAATTTAAAATTCAATCTGGTAGTTTTAATTAATAAAAAATAATTTTTATTACAAAAAATTCTATGTTTCTTTCACAAGCTCTATACAATTTTACGACTGATTCTTTTCTACTAAAAACCAGGGAGTTGCATGCATTGCCTTTTTAAAATTCCACAAATTATTCAATTTCTTTCAATGTCACCATTTTTTTTTTTATTATTAAATTGTTTAAAACTGTTATGAAAGCTAAACATTTTTTTTAAGTCAACTCACTGCAAAACAAGTGACAATTAATTTTCAATTCATTTTTAATGCGAATAATGGAATCGTGGATAGCGCTGCTCAGAATATTTTATTATAGCTCATCGTTTCTTTTTTTTTCAATTAAATTATTTCCCATTTTGACAGTTCAAAACACTTTAAAAGTGATCAACGCAAACATAAAATCAGTTATTCCGTTTCAACACAAAAATTTAATTTGCAAAATTTGTGGCTTTTTTTACTGCGCGCACAAGCAGGAAAACCCCTGAATTTTCAAAGGCCACGCTGTTACGCACGCACTTCAATGGAATTACCCGTCCATAATATTGTCTCATCAAACTCCATCACTGTAAATTAGTCGCAGTAAAGCAGTGCTATAGGTCAAACAAAAAATGAAATTCATATTCATGGGAATATTTCTGAGCGTAACATTTTCTTTAGTAAGTCTTTTATTCCTTTTATTAATGACATTAACGTTTTCTACACTATAACGCAAAAGTGTCTTAAATTTCCCTCATTTAGCGTGCATTTGTAACGCAATGATTGTATAATAATTAATTCTAGGTGAAATCCAGTGGGGTGGTTATGGCGCAAAAACATTTACAATTAGTGAAAGTTAAAATTATAACAGGTATGTGGCTTATTTTACCTTTTTTTTTTTAATATACATATTTAAACTTAAAAAAATCAGCAAAACGATCTAATGCAACTAGAAGAACGATGATAGTTCAATGCTGCGGGAATAAGCATCAGTGCACATCAAGCAGTAACTCGAATTACCTCTACAAAAACGTATTTGGTTTTCAAAATTGTAAAAAGTAATATTCATTGCCTTCGTTTAAAAAATAGATGACGAAAAATATGAAATCAGCTGCAACACCTGCTAATGGTTATAAAATCACTCAATCAGTGGGAGGAATTGCAGCTAATGGCGGTTTTAATATCAGGAAAAAATTCCAAAGCAAAAAATAATTTTAAATTTTATATTGCTAGTCACTACTTCAATTACCGTATCGGAGAGCAATTCATTAGACTCACAATCAGATTGTAAATCAATTATTAAAAAAACCGAATAATTTATTAATAATAAATTTTCTGTTAGCCACAATTACTGAAAGCCCTTTGATTGGTGAAGCGAGTGCAATGACAATGACAACAATTGAATCCGGAGGTCCTTTGGCGAATCCGTCATCAAGTAGTAATTCCGATTCACCACCAGTTGGAAACGAACTTTCTTCAGCGGCAGCCATAAATTCAGGAACCACCGACCCAACCCTGACGACTAATTTAAATTCTGGAAAGTTACTGCAAAATGCAGCTTCCTCTTTGGCTAACATTCCAATGGACCAAACGACGCAGTTTTCATCTGGCTCAGTCAAAGCGACTTCAAAAGCAGCTTCTCTTTTGTCAACCCAATCAAATAATTTAGCAGGTGGCGCAACCACGCCAGTAATAGGAGCTTTGACAACTTTGACAACAACTGTAAAATCTGGAACTTTAATTACTGCAAAAGCAGGAGCAACAAGCTCGTCCGGAACAACATTAAAGCCAATTTCTAATCCCACCGCGGGCAGTCAAATTTCAACAACGATGTCCCTTGCGAAGTCTGCGACGACCCTCACAACTACTTCACAAATTGCAGGAACTACCACAACTTTAAAGGCTTTACAAACAACTACGACCACTACAACTTCCACAACAACGACGACCGCAACCACCACAACAACCAGACCACCCTGTCTTACATATCCATGCTCTGTGAAAGTACTTTTTAATATAATTAAAATTAAATTTCACTTTCCAATGGCAGGCCGGTGCTTTGAATGCCAACGGACAAGTTGATAGTAAATAATAAAAATATAAAACGGTGAAATGAAGTTATTTTTTGTTAAAATTAGCTACAAAACTGCAAAATGCGACTTTCCAGCAGGCCTGTGACCGGCTTTATGTTTTCGGACTTGATCTGGTAATTTTTTTCTTAAATTTAAATAAAACAAAATTCCATATTTTATGCTTATCTAAAAATTAATTTTAATTAATATTTTCAATTTATACAATAATTATTGATTTTTTTTATCACAATTCAATTACAAAAATTATTATTTAGCTCAGTTGGACCGAAGCTGCGAGTTATTGCTGCTCACTTGGCATGCAGTTGCTCAGTATTGAAACCAGAGAAGAAATGGTGTGCATCTACGATTTGATGAACAGTTAATACAGATTAAATCAATTTAATTCTTTTCCACGTGTTTGTGAAATTTAAAAAAAAATCATTGAAGGCGAAGATGGAGCAAATTTGACGGGCGAGTATTTCACCTCCGGCTCTGATTACCAAATTGCGAGCAGCTTTGTTTGGTGCACGGCGAATTTCACACCTTTTAACTCGAGTGCCATTTATTGGAACCGAGATGAACCAAGCAAAACCAGTTTTCTCGGTGCTCAGGAGGATTGCGTTTCGGTGAAATTAAGCACCGGGCAGCAGAAGAAAAACGTTTTAAACGACGTCGAGTGTTCGGCCAAAATGAAATTCATTTGTGAAGTACAATTTTTGATTTTTTTCTTTGGCTGCGTCTTGAAATTCATATTTTTTACTTAAAGGTCCCTGTTCCACCGACCACTAAACCACCTTGCTTGCCATACACTTGTGAAATGAACGTAAACAATTAGATTGTTATATTGGCTTCATTTACATAATTGATTTAGAAAACGCTTTTGGACAGTGACGACTTTCTTATGCGTAATTAAAGATTCTAAATTTTAATTTAAAATTCATTTTAAAGTTTTTTTTTCAGCTAACGCGCCAATAAACGGCAACTTGAGGATAGCCTGTGGGCGAATGTATTTTTTCGGCAAAGAACAGGTTGCGTCAAAAATTATTGTTGCAAATTTTGATTAATATTTAATATCTAGGGTGATTGGGCGAGTTCTGCTTCAAAATGCTGCCAAATGAACATGCATTTGACGGCATTGGAAACTGTCGAGGAACGACAATGCTATAATAATATGATCAGAAGTGTTTAGAAATTTTTTTCACATCTGCAGCATATCAAATAATTAAAAATTTTAAGCTCCATATTACGGCACCGGCTTTCCATTTATCACATGGACTGGAGCGAGCGACCAATACCACGAGAATTTATTCACTTGGTGCACCCCAAAACGAGGCTCAAACATAATCAATTCTGCTTTGTTTAGTGGAAACGAACCATCCAATGGTGGAGGTATAGAAAACTGTGTCTCTCTAAACGCAGATGCAGCTAAAAATGTCGCGTACAACGACGCAAGTTGTGCAACCGTCTATCGGTACAATTGCGAGGTGAATATTTGAAATCAAACTAATCAACGAACACTATGCTCATTTAACATAATAAATTAAAATAACTTTACATATTATATTTAAGATAAAGAAAAAATTAATTTTTTAAAAGTAGCTTTGAGCGTACCTTTGGTATCAGGGGTTGGATTTTCTTATATTTTGTAAAAAAAAGACAGTGGCACCCGATTGTCCATTCCCGGAGTGTCCCGTGTACACGTGCGTCAAGGACCCGGAAAAATACGCCCTATCAAGAGCTTGGAAAAGTTTGAAAGACTCTTATCTGAATTTTGATAAAAATTTATATTTTATTGTAAAATATATAACATTATAGAGCCACCGGATGGGGAATTTCGGAGCTCATGTGGAAAGCAATACTTCGTCAGCAACATCTCGTTAAATCCCACAGAAGCTCTAGCTGAGTGCTGCAAATACGGATTGAAGTTGCTGAGCGTCGAGAGCAAGGAAGAACTCGACTGCCTAGTCGACACGATTAAAAGTTTGTAAAAATCTATGAAACCGGGTTTTTTTTTTTTTTTTTTTTTATAAAAAACTGCTTTAGTGGAAGTTAGAACTCCCCAATACAATTACTGGACTTCCGGGACGAATCTTGGTTACGGCTGCGACTTCACCTATGGCTGGTGCGGGAACAACGTTCTGGCCCCGAACATTTCGGCAATTCTCGAAACGCCAACAAACCCATTGAACGAGAGATGCATTCAGTTCAAACCTGCAAATAGCACTTTGGACGACTTGAGTTGCTCCATTAGACAAAGATTTATTTGTGAAGTAGATTTACAAAATTTTATTTCAGAATAATGAATGATTTTTTTTTAATTATTGAAAATTCTCAGGGATATGTTCCAGACTGCACACCGACCTGCCCAGCTCTATGTCAAAAAAATGTATAAATTAAATAATTAGCTAATATAGTACATTCAGTAGATTTCAAATTATAGCCATCGCTGTTTAACAAAAAAGATGAGCTTATAAGTATAATACAATAAGTTTATTAAATTTCCGTGATTTTACTACGCAGATTGAAATTAGATGTCGCCTCTTATGGGAAATGGTACACTTTTGGCTCCAGTACCTACATGTTCAGCTCGGCAATGGTTCAATGATAAATTTTACAAAAAAATTCCTTTCTAAAATTTTCTAAAAAAGGTAAATCAATCAACGGCTAATGATATTTGCTGCAGCATAGGCATGAATCTAGTTTCCATTGAAACCAATGAGGAGTTGCAAACTTTGAAAACAGTGGCAAATGGTTAGACACAAAATTGTTTAGTTTTAATTTTCAGTAAATTAGAAAAAAATCAGTGTTAATGTTAGTGTTAATATCATTCTAATTAATATGACTGGAATTAATTGATTTTATTATTTAAAATTTAAATTGTCAATCCGTAAATTTTTTATGAATAGAAATTTCAGCCGTGGAGAAGAATGGAATTATGATTTTGCATTTCAATTAAAGTTGTGATAAAGTTTTGACCTTAATATAAACTGACTGAAGTTATATTAATTTAAAAAATGACCTGACACGTGTCACTGATTTTTTATTAGAATTTAGTGTTACAAATTTTTATCATAGAAAATTAGGGAAAAATTTAAGACAATATCAAATAAATTTAGTAGAATTATATTATGTTAACATATTTTATAAAAAGACATTTCAAAAGTATTTTGAAAAAAAAAATGGAAAAAACTAGTCATCATTTCTTTTGAGCGCTACATTTTCTTATAGCTCCACAATACGCAGTTTAAAAAAAATGATAATCATGTTATTACCGTTATTACTTCTAAAGCTCAACACTTTACAAGTGGATCGCAGATAGATTGCGACTTTAAATACAAGTGGTGCGGCTCAGGAGTCAGATTCCATCGTAACGATTCAAGATGGTGAGGTGTTGCAAAAGTATTTAGCACCAGGCATTAACATAATTAATTATATTTAGGGTGCCAGGCCAGCCTAATACATATCAAGGAAGCCAAGGTTGCATCGTATTGATTAATAGCGGCTACTTAAACGACGTGGACTGCTCGGCACCTTTCAATTTCATCTGCGAAGTATTTGGAAATTTTAGAAACTATAAATTGCAAATAATGTATTTTGCAGATGCCTGCTTTGCCTGCATGCACTAAAGCCACCTGCCTGGACGTGGAATGTGAAATTGATGTAAATCTTTAAAAAAACGTTTCACTACAAATTTCTAAATAATAATTTTAAATTAAGCCCGTAAAATACATGCAGTCTATTGCCTGGAAGGGTAATAGTTTTATTTTTATAAATAATCATCTGTAATTTATTTGATGGAATTTTTGACGCATAAATTTCTATTAAAATTAGATGTTCCCAATGGCTTCTTCAGAAGTCTCGGCGGTCGACAGTATTTTTTAAGCTCAATTCTAGTGAGACTGCAATAATTTCTATTTAAAAACTCAAATAATTTAAAGAAATAATTAATAGACTACATACACAGGAGCGAGTTTAGAATGCTGCAAAATGGGTCTAGAGTTGCTTTCTATCGAAACACTAGAGGAGATGGATCTACTGAGGAAAAATAACATTTTTGGTAAAAATTTCACTACTGATAAATTAAATCTCTACCGAAAATTCCTGAATTTAAATGAAGGTCTCGCAAATAGCGTGTACATCTTTTGGTCGTCGGGATACAAAGACGGAATTGGTTGTGACAATTTATGGGGTTGGTGTCCGTCTGGCACGAATGTGTCCCTCACCGTTCCGTGGGTCAATGATCACGTGGAAACTTGCGCCATAGTGCAGTTTGGTGGTGCCCCCAGCATCCCGGTACTTGTAGACGATCACCCTTGTGATTTAATGCATTGGTATATTTGTGAGGTTTGCATTTTAACAAGTTATATTATTCTCCCTGAATTTGAAATTTTGACGATAGGGCTCCGTAGCAGAATGCAAACCGTCTTGCCCCGTGAAAGTTTGCTCAAAAGACGTATATTGTTGAATTAATTTTTATTTTATTATTGGAAAACTTTAATTTGAAAAACAGCCGAGCTTGTTTGACAGTGCTGGGAAAATCATAAACCCTGGCCAATATGGCACTTGGAGGGATGCTTGCGGTGGAAGGTACTTGTTCAGCAGTATAAGAGTAATGAGTGCTAAAAATTCCTGAAACTTTATCAACAATTTGTTTGCACTCCTTAGACTACATATTACGACGCCTATAAAATCTGTTGCAATCTTGGAATGCAATTGTTCATTATGAATGACGACGTCGAGTTAAAATGTTTGACAGATCTCAATAATGGTGAAGATGTGTTTAATTTGATAAAAAAATTACTCATTAATATTAGCCGATATGAAATTTGGCGGAACTTTTTTGACCAGTGCCAGTGGCCAAGATTGCAGAGTGCGTTATGAGTTTTGTCCGGACACTGGCATCTATTTTTATTCCAATGATACTAGATGGTATTTTTCGTTTCTAATGATATGAACGGGTAAAAAAAAAAATGATTTTCAGGTCACCTGGCGAAGGCCAAGCCGGCGAGACTGCTTTGATACTTATATTCAGAGTGGGGAGCTCTACTGTATTTGGAGATCAGTTTTTCTCTTCAATTTACAATTTCATCTGCGAGGTGATTCTATATTGAAAATTACACAGATTCAAAAACATATTTTTATACAGGGACCGGTAGTTTAAGAAATGGAAGGTAGCAACAATCATCACAAATTTGTATATTAAAATTTAAGATATCTGATGGTTAAAATAGATATTTGCAATTAATTTCAATAATTTAGAAACCAAGATACAAATTAAATTGTAAAAAAGTTTTACACTCTGCGCAAAGATCCGTTGCATCTTAAGTAATGTATAATAATACTTATTTTTAGTATTCCAGTGAGGAGATACGTCTAAAATAATTAGTTAATTGTTGATATAAAATTGTATCGCTTAGATTACATACAAATTTAAGTGTTGAATAAAATATATCCAAAAATGAAGCTGCTTTTATGTTCTTACTTTCCCATTTTCACAAACTGGAATTAGTTTAGGTCCCAGTGTGATTATTGAAAAACGCAACACTAATCAGAGTTAAGCGCGTCTATGTTATTCCATTGTTAAATTTACTGCAAAAAACTATTTTACCTGAGATAAAACAAAATTTAAACTTGAAGCTCATTAAAATTGTTGAAATTTGGCAATGTCTCAAAATTACATTTTGTATTGTAATGGTAATTTGCAATTACATGTATTACGATATGGGCAGTGATTGAGTTTCAATAAAATATCATTAGCAACTAAAATTTGTGGCAATATGCAAATAAATAAAAGCATAAAATGTGCGTCACTGAGCAAGATTGAAATTTTCCAGAGGCACTAAATAAAAGACCGAGCACTTGCCAGGAATTCCCAATCGACCAACATTACCATTTTCATTGTACGTATGTACGCTGTATTGTTTGTACAGAATATTCCATAACATTTCAACTATTCATGCTTGCCGAATAACAAGGCTACGAAGTGCGAACGAGGTCAAAAATAATGCAGCTTTATTTGATAGGCATACTTACCAGTGCCGTTTTCAAGATCGTAAGTATATTCCAAAAACTATATTTTTAAATTAAAAAATAAAAATTTAATAATAATTTCTCAGTTTCTATTCCAACAACTCTCTGACGCTCAAATTGTCAAAGTCAAATTCATGGTTACTGGTAATTTTGGCCCTTTCCAAAATTTTAAGCATTAAATTTTTATAAAATAGCAAAACGACCAGCTCGGAAGGTTATAGTAAAATGCTGTGGAAAACTCCGATGTGACCCAAATATCATTTCAAGCACGACTTATAAAAATGTTATTTACTTCGTAAAATTTAAAAATCAAAATTAAAATGATTCAATGGTTCTCTAGGAGACAGTTACAGTAAAATCTTTAATGACTTCAAATCGTAATGAGTATCAGAGCATTCCAAAAGAAACAGCGGGAACAGGTGAAATATATTTTGGTTTTCAATAATTTCCCGATTATAAAAGGAACATCTTTAAAATTAAATTGTTTAATGTTTGAGTTGATATCGTTTACGTCAGGTTTACGTTTGGGTTTTTATGAATAAAATTTAATTTCATATATTTTTTTATAAAGGCTCAATGACGGCGAGTTCTCCGCATAACAATGATATTGGAACCGAGACAGAGCCTATTAATGAAAACCTGCCACAAATACAAACAGTATCGGACTTTGATTCGTCATCACCTCCTGGACCGACAGTGTCATCTGTAGTTGGCACCATAATTAGTAAATCTCCGCAATCAGCTGCCGAACAGTCTTCAGTGTACTCAACTTCGACAAATGTGCAGACTACAGAATTACTAGAAGCAACTTTGACTTCGGTCACTTCTTCTACTACCTTGTCTACCTTAGAGCCCACGTCTAGCACTAACAGCGAAAAAACCACAACCAGTACGAACACAATTTCAACCACGTCAACGAAAAGGACACCTTGCCAGCAATACCAATGTTCCTCGAATGTAAATTTTAGAAAAATTAATATAAATTTCATAAATAGCAATAAGTGTAAAAATAATTGCAGGGGAATGCGCTAAATTCCAATGGGCAGGTTGATAGTAAGAAAAATTAACATTATTTGGTCAAATTAAAATTGATGAAAACAAACATAAAAAATTTACAGTTTTGAAAATTCAAAACGCGACTAACCAGCAAGCGTGTGACAGACTTTATGTTTTTGGGCGTAATTTGGTAAATATTTTATCTAGTTTGATGCAAATAAATATTATTTAAATTCACTAAAAATATAAGTAAATTTTAAATTAAAATATTAGTGTTAGTAGTTATTATTTAAATTTCATGATGTTCTAGCTTAGTTGGACAGAGGCAGCGAGTTATTGCTGTTCTCTCGGAATGCAGATGCTCAGCATTGAGACTAAAGAGGAGTTGAATTGCATTTCAGATCTAATGAACAGTAAAAGCCAAAAGCATTTGATGAATGAATAGTTTTAATAAAACTGTTTTATTTTAATAAATAAAATAATAAAGGTCCTGACGGGACGGATTTGCCAGGGGAGTATTTTACATCCGGTTCAGACTATCAAAATCAGAGCAGCTTTGTTTGGTGCTCGGCTAATTACACTCCTTTTAACTCGAGTGTTGTTTTCTGGAGTCCTGGGGAACCGAGCACAACTAATTTACAAGGAACTCAAGAAGATTGCGTTTCTGTGCAACTCAGCGCTGGCATGGTGAATGAAAACGTTCTGCGAGACGTCGAATGCTCTGCCGAAATGAAATTTATTTGCGAAGTAATAAATAAAAAACAACTGTAGTAGGAAACGCTAAAAATGGCTAAAATAACAGGTACCTGCTCCAACGACCACGAGACCGCCGTGCTTGGAATTCAGCTGCCAAAAAAATGTAATATGTAAAGAAAATTGGAGATGGAAATTTTTTATTTTAATTAATTTTCAAGATTGAACTGTTGGACCAGAACAATTTTATTTTGCGTATTTTTAAAGCCTTTATATTAAATAATATTACACATGTAATTTTATTAAAGCAAATGCATCAATAAACGGCACGCTCAGGATAGGTTGTGGGAGGATGTATCTTTTCAGCAAATATTTAGTTGCACCTAGAATATATTAATATATTAGCCAGCTGATTAATAACTTGTTTAGGTGAACTGGACTGACGCTGCGTCCAAATGCTGTTTGCTTAATATGCATTTGGCAGCGCTCGAGACTCCTTCAGAAGTGCAGTGCTTCAACAATATATTCAAAAGTTTACATATTTTTACATTGCATTTAAATGATATTAATTCACAAAATCTAGTGCCAAATTATGGCGAAAATTTGGCGAACACTTATTGGATTGGCGCGAGTGAGGGTTTATTCACTTGGTGCACTCCAAGAAGAAGTGCAAATATTGCCAATAACCGTGATTTTTTTGGCGCAAATGAGCCCAAAACTAATTCCACAACCGAAAATTGCGTCAACTCTTTGATTAGTAGTACTGCTGGTGCTGCGTCGATTGCATTTAAAACTGGTAAATGCGGTGACAGTCTCCGTTACGTCTGTGAGGTAAAGAAGAAAATTAATTTTTATTGGAAAAATTTTAACCGTTTCCTAGACTGAGGCTTGTTCCTTCCCGGAGTGTCCAAACAAAACATGCGTTCAAGATCCGGCGAAATACAACTTATCACAAACATGGAAAAGCATGCCTGGATTTATGTTTTGGGAACATATCGTTTTTAAGGAATCGTTAAAATTTCAGAATCTGCTGCAGGCGAGTTCCGCAGCTCGTGTGGCAGGCAGTATTTTTTCAGTTATAATGAGTTAAATTTCCAAGAAGCCCTGGCAGAATGCTGCAAATACGGCTTAAAACTTGTGAGCTTGGAGAGCAAAGAAGAACTGGATTGTGTATTGGACACAATAAAATGTATATTTTCAATTTTTTTATTAAAATATTTTATTTCAAACTTCTTGTTCTGGCTCTAATGCTTTTTACGATTTTTTGATTTTTTTTAACTCTTTGGTAATTTTCATTTTGACGATGAATCTTGCGAGTTCTGATTCAAAATATTGAAGAATCAAAACGAAATTTCTGAGCTTTTTCACACCTTTTTTTGTTTAAATTTTCCTTGTTTTATGTGTATAATTTTACTTTTTTTGCAGATTTTAATTATGTTAATTTTGTACTTATATCACTTTTGTAAAGTTGAGGTTCGTTCAACCTCTACTTTTTGGACGTCTGGCACAAATCAGGGATTTGGTTGCGAGATGACCTACGGCTGGTGCGGAAGCGGCGCATCAGCCCCAAATCTCACAAGTTTGCTTAACAAGCCGACAAATCCATTGGTCGAAAGATGCATTGAGCTGATATCCGCGGACGGCGAATTAAACGACCGCAGCTGCGCCACAGACAGGAGATTTATTTGCGAGGTCAGATATTTCAAGATTTTGATGGATCGAGATTTTTATTTTAAATTATGTAGGGCATCGCCCCAGAATGCTCACCTACCTGCTCCGCGCAATGCGTTAAAGATGTATAATTGATAAGAAAAAGTAAAATAAGTTAATATGAAATTATTTTATCTGCTTTTAGCCGGCGCTATTTAACAAACAAGACCAACTTCTGAGTAATTTTGAAAATGCGTTCTGATTTAATCGTAGTTAATAAATTGTTTAAGACATTGATTCTTATGGAACAACGCACACAGTTGGTGCAAGCACATATTTATTTAGCTCGGACCAAGTAATTGTCTTTTTTACAATTGTTTTTCTCTACTTATTTAAACAACATCCACAGGTCAATGCAAAAAAGGCACATGAAATTTGCTGCAGCATTGGAATGAAGCTCATCTCCGTTGAAACTGACGAAGAATTGAAAATATTGCATGAAATTCACGTCAAAAAGAGTAAAATGAGATTAAATTTGTTAAAAATTAGACTCATTTTAATTAACGAACATAATCTCAAGCGTCTCAGTTCTTGGATTACTGGACAAGTGGTTCGCAAGTGGATTGCGAATTCCGTTTTACTTGGTGCGCTACGGGGGTGCGATTTCACCGAAACGATACTAGATGGTTTGACTTACAATGAGACGAAAAATTGCAGTTGGAATAAAACTCAAAATCGATTAATACAGGATCCCTGGTCACCCTAATACCGAAGACGAGAGCCAGCCCTGTGTAGTGGCTTATCTAAACAAAACACACTTGTACCTAAACGATTTGCCTTGCTCTGCAAATAATAATTTCATTTGCGAAGTATGAAAATTTGAAAAATCAATTATACTTTGTTTGATAACGTTTTGCAGATGCCTGCGGTGCCTAAATGCACGAAGGTAACATGCCCTGACGTGGAATGCTCTTTAGACGTACACATTCAATAAATAAATATATAATTCTTCTCAATTTTATATGTTTTAAATAATCTAAGGCGGTCATGAAAAAACAGTCAGTTGACGGAAAGGGTAAACAAAATAATACATTTATATTAATTTTTTTTAAAAAATAAATAACGGAACTCTATTGAGCGTAGACATAAATAACGGACAATTTAGGAACATCTGCGGTCGGCAGTATTTTCTAAATAAAAATTCGGTGCGTTTCGTTTTAAAATTATTTTTTATAAAATTATCTCAACTTCATACTTTTGCTAGACCTCTTATACTAAAGCAAGTTTAGCCTGTTGCAAAATGGGAATGCAGCTTTTATCCATTGAAACCGCGGAGGAATTGGAATGTTTGAAACAGAACAATTCTTTTGGTTCTGACATATTTTCCTACTTTTTAGTTCACAAGATGTAATTTTTTCTTTTGCAAAGCAGGTCTGGATGCAAAGCCACTTTATTTTAGAACATCAAGCGTCAGCGACGGCATTGGTTGCAAAGGCGTCTTTGGTTGGTGTCCTTCTGGTGACAATGTGAGCCTCACGGTTCCATGGGCCGCTGGAGAGCCCAGCACTTCTGTAGCGGACAAATGTGGCACTGTTTTCATGCAAATGGGTGGAGGCCCCACAGTTCCAGCAGTAATGTTAAGTGAAGACTGCGACCGAACCCGTTGGTTCATTTGTGAGGTTGGTTCATTTTTGTATGAATATTAGTGAATTTTAATGCTAATTTATTATTTTTAAACTATAGGGACCTGCTAAATGAGAAGCAGATATTTTAATTCAATTTCATGCTGATTAAAAAAATGAATTCGGTATTTTAAAAAGTATGTGATAAAAAAAATATTGAAAATAAAAATCATATAATTATGTCGCAAAAAAATTAATTTTTTCCATGGAGTTGAATTATTTTGCGAGTTATTGCAATTGGTAAAACCCAAACGATGTAGGTGCATTCACGGAGTTTCCATACATTGAGGAGAGGTCAAATTTAATATAATAGTGTGAGAGGAAAGAGGATGCACAGTGAACTGTCAAGTTATTTCCCGATTTCAACTGGACGCTCTCTTTTTTTATGCAGCATAATGCACTCTTATATTCTAGCAGCTTGGATTTTCACAGTTTATGCAAGTGTAAGTAAATATTTGATTTTATTAAAAAAAAAAAAAAAAAAATATTGATAAATTGATAAGACTTTTTTTTAAAACAATCAAAATTTAGCTTCAAACAGCAGCAATTGGAATCGTCCAAACAAATATAATCAAATTAAAATTTGTGAAAGGTAAACACCGGTGGAATTATTATTATTATTATTTTTTGATGGATTTGCGCAAGAGTTGATAATATGATAATTAATAATAATTTAAAGGAAGGAGCGCCACTAGGAGAACATTAATTTCGGACTGCTGTAGCTACCAACAGTGTGCTTTAAATGACTCTAGTTCAAAAGTTAATATAAAAAAAACTTCTTATAACTTTACTTCAACTTTTCTCATTTTATAGCCAGCAAAAGGAAAGTTTGTCTCCAAAAGCACAATAAATAAAGCAATTGGCGGTGTACAGGCGACAACAAGGAGTGCCCAAAGTGAGAGAAGAGACCTTTTAATTTAAATCTATGCATTTATGATAAATTATGAATTATCAAAGGTCAGTCCGGTGCCAACAAATTAGGAACTGCGATCAATGACGGTGGACTAGTGACAGATCGTAACTAAATGTTTAGATGATTTGAAATTAATATATTTAAAGGTAATATAATTATAAAAAGCTGTTGCTGGCGGCCAGCCCAACCCTTCTGATCCAAATGCTGCTTCAACAATAAGTTCAGTTGGAGGAGAAATAAGTTCTCCAGCAGCTGATTTTTCTGGCACGATTTCCGGAACTGGAGCAAATGTAATTTTGCCATCAACATCTGCTCCAGGAGAGACCCCACTAGCCCAAGAACCTGGAGCCACGACTATTCAACCCGCAGACTTAAATCCACAACCAGGAGCCACCGTAATGAAAAGCCCCACCGCTGGCTTGACTTCGCAAGCAGCAGGGGTCACAACTTTGAAATCTGGAACATCGGCCACCACAAAATTGGGCCAACCTGCGGCTGGGCCGACACAGATTAGTGGAGTGGCACCTACTGTTGCTGGAGGTTCAACTTTGACCAGTTTAATTTCAACAACTGCAAAAAGCGGGGTTTTGGCATCGGCAAGCACCACTTCCATTAACGGAGTTTCTGTGACTTTGGCACCATCTGGGGGTGGCACAACAGTTTTTGGAGCCGCAGGGGTAACAACTTCAGGAACCACCCAATCCACCGGATTGACTCAGAAAGCAGCAGGAACGACGGCGGGAAGCATTTCTAATCCCACAAGTAATGTGGGCATTTCTAGTGCAGCTTTAACTACACAAACCACCACTTCTGTGAAAACAAGTACGGCGGCTTCAACAAGCACGAGTTCAACAGTTACAACAACTTCGACAACAACAACAACCACCACAAGGCCTCCTTGCCTTCCTTACGAATGCAAAACCAATGTACAAATTTTCAATTTTGCTATAATAATTCGATTTAAAAAAAGTTTTAATTTGTTCAGCCTGCCAATTTAAATGCAAATGGAATAGTTGATAGTATAAGACTATAAAATTTTAATAAAATTTAAATTAACTAAATTAAACATTTTAGCTACAAAACTTCAAAACGCCGCTTTTCAACAAGCGTGTGACCGGTTATACGTATTCAGCAAAAATTTGGTAATTTTTTTTAAACGTCATTTTCAAATTATATTTCTATTAAAATTGTTGTGTGGTAAAAAAGCAAAATTGGACAAATGCAGCCAGTTACTGCTGCTCACTTGGAATGCAGCTCCTTAGCATTGAAACGAAAGACGAGCTTCAGTGCATTTCTGATTTAATGAACAGTATAAAAATTTCCGATTGTAAAATGTATGAAATTAATAATTAATTTAATTTTAACATAGGCGTTGATAGCACTGGCTTAGCCGACGAGTATTTTATCTCCGGTTCGGATTATCAGAACGCAAGCAGTTTCGTTTGGTGCTCTGCAAATTTCACACCGGTTGACCCAAATGTTGTGACCTGGAGTACAGGAGAGCCGAGTGTGACCAGTTTTCTTGGTGCGGAGGAAGATTGCGTGTCCGTCCAGTTAAGCTCAGGAGTTGCAAGGAAAAACGTTCTGCGCGACGTTGATTGCTCCGTTAGTAAAAAATTTATTTGTGAGGTATGTTAAAATTGATTGTTCTTATTTTTAACCTAATTTTTCTGAAAAGTTGCCCGTTCCACCAACAACAAAGCCACCGTGTTTGGCCTACACATGTGAAAAGAATGTATGCTTTGTTTAAAAATGATAAAACTGAATTCTATTGAGTATGAAATAGACTACCATTTTGGACGACGACGGATTAATTAAACGTAATAATTTCTTTATTAAATGAAGTAAAATATTCATGTTTAATTTCTTAAATATTCAGAAAATACGGCAGTTGATGGAGCTTTAAGAGTCTCAACATGCGGAAGGATGTATTATTTTAGCAACGCGGCGGTCAGTAGAATAATATGGAATTAATTAAAAATTAATACATTTAAATTGTTAGGGATCCTTTACAACAGCTGCGTCTGAATGTTGCAAATTGGGTATGCAACTTGTATCGTTTGAGACTCGTGAAGAAATAACCTGTTTTAACAAAATTTTGAACAGTAACATTTACATGTTTTCAATTAAACTATTATTTTAATACCATACATAGCAAGAGGATACGGTGAAAATCTCAACTTTAATGCTTGGACTGGGGCCAGTGACCAATATCACGAGGGCCTTTTCACTTGGTGCACTCCCAATAGATTGTCGAACATCGTGAACAACCAGTTCTTTCCGCCGGGCCAGCCTGATAACGCAGGTGGTGGTGAAAATTGTGTCCATATTTATTATGCCGCGGGAAATATTATTCAATTCAATGACGCAACCTGCACAGCTAATGTGAGATTTGTGTGTGAGGTAATAAGATAAAATTTAAAAAGTATTTTCCGTTTGACATTGCGAGTACCGAGTTGATTAAAATTTTAATAGTCAGTGGCCCCAGACTGCCCATTCCCGCAGTGTCCAGCGTACGCGTGCATTAGAGACACAGCAAAAAATGCTCTTTCCAAAGCGTGGAAAGGTTATAATTTTAAAGATTATATTGCATCAACATTTTTAAATACTGAAAATTGCAGCTACTGTTGACGGCCAGTTTCGAAGTGCATGCGGGCAGCAGTACTTTTTCAGTAATTACACTCTCACATATCAGGAAGCTTTAGCCGAATGTTGCAAATATGGCTTAAAACTGCTTAGTATTGAGTTCAACGACGAGTTGGATTGCATCAAGGAAATGGTTATAGGTTAATAACATTCATCAAATAAAAGGAAGCAGAAAATTATTACGTTTTTCCGTTTCTCAGCTGAAATCAGGCAACATAATTTTTATTGGAGCTCTGGCACGAATCTGGGTTATGGTTGTGAGCTCACTTATGGCTGGTGTGGCTCCAAAACTTTGGCTCCGAATATCACGTGGGGTGTTCCTATTGAGCCTAATGTTCCTCTTTACGAAAGATGCCTGTTGCTACATACAGCTAACAATTTCAGCGATCAAGTTTGCTCCCAACAGAGATTCTTCATATGTGAAGTAAAAAATAAATTGATTTTTTTTTTAGACGAGAATCTATTCTTTTTTTTTTCAAACAGGGAAACGTGCCAGACTGCACGGCAACATGCCCAAGCTATTGTGTGAAGGATGTTAGTATGCACAATTTTCAAATTAAAATTTAAAAATTAATATAGAAATATTAGAGTTCTCTATTCAACAGTAAAGACCAACTTGTTAGTAAGTAGCTGAATAAAACAGATAAATAATGATTTAATTTATTCTTTTTGTCAAGACGTGGCTTCATATGGCACTTGGAAGACAGTTGGCGGCAAAACTTATTTATACGGTTCAAATCTCGTGAGAAAAATAATTTTCAGAATTTTTTAAACTTTCTTACATAAATTGTTTTAGTTGGATTTTTATGAAGCATATGATTTGTGCTGCCGCATTGGCATGAGTTTGGTATCAGTGGAAACGAACGAGGAGATGCAAATTTTGCTCCAAATGAAAAATGAAATCTGTAATAAGTGACATAATTTTTAATTTTTTCGAAATAATAATTATTACTTATGTTCTCAGCACCAGATAGTACTGATGAAGCATGGACAAGTGGGTCACACATTGACTGTGATTACAGATTTAAGTGGTGCGGCTCGGGTGAAAAATTGCTACGGAACGACTCTCGATGGTCTCAATTTCTTAAGAAAACCAACTGTTTTTTTTATTATAAATATAAGATTTTAAACACAACTAGGCATGCAGGTCAGCCTAATAATGCTTACGGAAATCAGAGTTGTGTGAGGGTGATGATGACTCCAACGCAAATTTCCTTCAACGACCTTGCATGCGAAGACAAACGGACCTTTTTCTGTGAAGTATGGAGGTGCATCAATTAAAACGAATGCATTTTTGAAAAAGTATATGATTTTTAAGGCACCTGCTGTTCCTGTTTGCACACAAGTAGCATGTTCAGATATGACTTGTGAATTGGATGTAAATAATTTAATTCCAATTAATAAATCTCGATTAAAAAATTATTTCTAAAGCCAATGAAATATGTGCAATCGTTGGCTTGGAGGGGTTACTTGATAAATTAAATATATATTTTTAAATATTGAAGTTGGTCCTAATTTTCAGACAGCACTGTAGGAGAATTTCGAAGTATTTGTGGACGCCAATATATACTAAATAAATTTGAGGTACGCGCAATGATTTTTGTTAATTTATTAAAATATTATTGTTGTTTCATGTCCATTAGTTACATTAAATTAGTAAGATTAAATTTTTGAAATAATTTTTTTATTATAAAATATAAACTGTTGTTTATTTTCCACAAATCCAGCACAAATCATGTCTAAATTAAATTAAATTATTATTTTTATTTATTAAGAAAATTATTATGGTTAAACAAATTACGTTTTAAATTGAAAAAATGTTAATTAATTAATTAAACTAATTAAATTTCAAAATGTTGCAGTTAACATACGCTCAGGCCAGAGTCGAGTGTTGCAAAATGGGAATGGAACTGCTCTCGTTGGAAACGCTGGACGAGTACAATTGCTTTCTCAATGACCCTTTCAGTAAAAACTTCCTAAATTGTCGCTTAAAAGTGTTTATTTATTCAAATAAAAAAAGATTTCGGCCCAACCGCATACCAATTGTGGACGTCAGCGGTTTCTGACGGCATCGGTTGCGAAAATGCAACCAGAGGTTGGTGCCCCTCCCTAACGCCGGTGCCTAGTGGCATTCCGTGGGCACCAGGTCAGCCTAATAACACTTTGACGGAAAAGTGCACCTACTTGGAATTGGGGCGAAATATCCCCGTCACTCTTTATGGCTACAACTGTGAAAGTTTACGGTGGTTTGCTTGTGAGGTATGATTCAATAATTTTTAATTTTTAGAATCAATTTCATTAATTTTTTTGCAGGCGTCTATACCGGAGTGCAAGCCAATGTGCCCAATTAAAACCTGCAGCAAAGATGTAACATAATATAAAATATCTAATTTATTATGAATTCACGTGTTTTTAAAATATTCCCAGTCTACTTCGTTTGATAAAAGTGGAAAATTAATTTCCCCAAATCAATATGGAACATGGAGAGACACCTGCGGCCGTCGTTATTTGTTTAGTTCTGCAAGGGTGATTGTTTACTTTTAAATCAATTTACAGTACAATTTAATAATTTAAAAAAAAAAATTAGGCGGACTATTACACAGCGTTCAAAACGTGTTGCAGCATTGGAATGCAACTTTTGATTATTCAGGATGACGCTGAGTTGCAATGCATCACTACCCTGAATGACGGTATTAATTTATCTTTAAATTCTTTTTTTTTTTTTTATTAAAAAATGACATTTTAAATACAGCTGACACGAAATTTTCCGATACGTACTACACTTCCGGCAGCTCGCAAGATTGTCGCAACCGATACGAATTTTGTCCGGACACCGGGATTTACATTTACGCTAACGATACGAGATGGTAGTATTGTTTCTGGTTAAATTTCAATTAATTAATGAATCATAACAGGCAAGCAGGTGATTGCAACCAAGGAGAAGTCTCGCTTTATATAAATCTGCAGCCAGGAGCAAAAACTCAATTTTCGGATTATTTTTTTAACTACACAACTCGGTTTATTTGTGAGGTTTGGTTCTATTATTTAGTATTTTCAGATGGTTAGAAAAACTGATTTTTAGGGCCCAATTATTTAGAGCGGATATTGAAAACCAGCAAAAATGTGTGATTGAACAGGAATTGAGATCTGATAAGAAAAATTGAAATAAAATCTGATTAATAAAGTTAATCTAGTGTTTGATTAACGACTGTAGTAACAATTGCTAAAAGCAAAATAAACGAGACTTAAAATAATTTTGTTAGGTCAGAGTAATACGATTAGAAATGCTTCCTCATCACCTGTGGGAAAACCCGCCTTAACATCATTTCCGTGCTAATACATCGTGTGGTTTCCGACTGACCCTACGCTCAGCAAAAAAGTTTGTTCGTCACCTCCACTGCTGCAGGCGCTGCCCAAAATGCGTGACATCGTGAATTGTGTGTGAAAAATATCAATTCCGCAATGCATCCTCTGTATGGGGCCTTAATAATTATTTCTACATGTCAATGTGTAAGATAAAATCTGAAAGTTTACTTTTTAGAAGAAACAAATAAACACACTCAATTAAATTTTTAAAATAATTTCAAAAGATTTCAGCAGCAGGAGTTTTGAAGACTAATATCTTAAAAATTAGATTTATTAAAGGTAAAAATATGGCATTAGAATTGTAATTTTCGTAATACCAGACACGAGTTTTTCAAAAAGAAAAAAATTCGACAATCGTTAGAAGAAAATTAATAATTGAAAACTGCGCCGGAACAGCAGAGTTTAACTCGGGAAACAAAAATATCAAACCTGGTAAACATGTAAGTCAGTGTGATTATAATTCATTTTGATATTTTTTTTAAACTTTATTATTAAACAGTCGTCAAAAGGAACATTTAGCACTAAGAAGGGCGTTCAGTTAGTGACAAATAAGCAAACTATTAGTGCTGGATCTGGTATGTAAATTTAAGTTTTTTTTCAATGTGTTGATTTAAAATAAAAATATACAAACACAAGTTGAAACGAGATCAACTAACAGTGCTGCGGATCAAAGTTTGGCAGCAAACACTGATGGTTAGTTTTTTTTTTCTTCCAAAAATACATTTTTTTTTTATTGAAGAAATTGGCACTCAAGTTGAAGATCGTGGAAGTGAAGAACATAGGCTTAATCCTCGTTGAAAAAAATTGTAGAGCCGTTTGTTTGTGAATAAAAACCATATTTTTTTTTCAACGAGAACAAAGCTTGGGTTTCTACACTTTCACATTTATTTATTTTTTGTTATATGAATATTTTATTTTAGGAAGTGGTAAAACTTTAATTAGTGATGTCACTGCCGATCCCCAATCCTTAAACCCTGAGACGACAAATGGCACAGGAGCTTCTTCTCCTGATGTGCCTGCCGGAGCGATTTCCGACTTGCCAGTGGCTGATACAGTAATTAATACAGTAATTAATATCAGGATTTAAATCCTGATTTTCCCCAGCAAATCGCGAGCACTGTCGATCCTTTGGGAACTCCAGGTCAAAATACGCTTTCCACATCACAGCCACAAAACACAGCTACGGCCAAAGTTGGTTCTCCCGTCAGCACTGGTTCAAACAATGCCATTGCTTTAACGACCGTAGTCACGTCGCCAATATCTGGAATCACAAAAGCAGGGGCTCCCAGTTTGACAAATGGTGGAACGCAGATAACAACTACCATACCTGGACTGGCCGCTACTACGATAAAATCAGGGTCAATTTCTTTGACAACAACCAAAGTAGGAGCACCAGTTGCCACTTCAGCGCAGGGAGCGACTACCCTCTCTGTTATTACCACGAAACCTGCCGGAGTTACAACTGTAACCTCACTCGGACCTCAAAATCCAACCTTAATTTCATCTACAGCGTCCACTGGGCAGCAAGTAGTAACAAATGGAAACACTATAACCTCAGTAAAAACTACAACACTTCCAACAACTTCAACCACCACTACTTCTACGACAACCACGAGCACCACCACAACAACAACTACGACAACAACAAGACCCCCTTGTTTAAAATACGATTGCACCGTAAATGTAAGTTGATTTTTTCAACAAAAAGGCAGTGTTTATAAGTGCATTTTTAGTCGCTCAATTTGAATTCAAATGGAATCGTTGATAGTATGTTTTTAATTTTAATTTTGATTTGCATGAATGAATAATATAAATGCTCGTTAGCAACAAAGTTAGTTGATGCAATTTATCAGCAAGCGTGCGATCGTCTCTATGTGTTTGGATTGAGCTCGGTATGATTAGAATATTTATTTTCACGATTTCTTCAAAACTTAAAATTCTGAAGAAAAACTGGACAGATGCTGCGAGTTACTGCTGTTCTTTAGGAATGCAGCTACTGAGCATCGAAACAAAAGAGGAGTTGGTGTGCATTGCTGACCTAGTGAATAGTAAAAACCAAGATAACATCGAGGCAACTCTTTGATGAAAAAAATTTAAGGTATTGATGGCGTTGGATTGCCTGGAGAATATTTCACGTCAGGGTCTGACTACCAAATTGCCAACAATTTCACATGGTGCTCGTCAAATTACACTTCCATAGGGCAGAACATTGCTTGGATTTCTGGTGAGCCGAGCATGACCGATTTCTTTGGGGTGGAGGAGGACTGCGTTTCGGTTAATCTCAGTCTTGGCCAACCAAAGAAAAATGCTCTCCGCGACGTTGATTGCTCAGCCAAAAAGAAATATATCTGCGAGGTTAAAAAAATTATATTTTCAATATAATTACGTCATTGCTGATTTCTATCTCAAAAATTAAGGTACCTGTACCCACAACCACGAAACCTCCATGTTTACCCTACACATGTGAAAAAAATGTTTGAAATTTTAAAATTTTTGTATTTAAAACATTTCTAAACACGTAACCTACTTTTCAGCAATCTTTGCTTGATAGTGATGACTATATAAACCGTATATTTTAAATATATAGACTAATGAAAAATCAAATTAATTACATCATGATTCACCATTCCAGCAAATGCTTCAATTGACGGTGCGCTAAGAATATCTTGCGGCAAGATGTATTACTATAGCAATTTAGCGGTAAATAAGAGGCTAATTTAATTATTGAATTAATTACCCACGACAATTGTATTTTATTAGACAACTTGGCAAGCTGCAGCTTCTGCATGCTGTCAGCTAAATATGCGTCTGGTTGTGTTTGAAACTGTTGATCAGAGAAATTGCTTCAATAAAATATTTTCGAGTAAATATTTCATATTATTCAAAGATATTTTTTTCTTGAAATAATAATAAAATATTTAGTTCCTGGTTACGGCTCAAATTTAAATTCAATTCATCTATGGGTTGGATTCAGTGATCAATATCAGGAGGGTGTTTTCACTTGGTGCACTTCCAGCAGAAACATAAAAATTACCACAAACTCTTTATTCTTTGCTGGCGGTCAACCTGACAATGCTGGAAATAATGAAAATTGTGGCATGATACTCGCAAATACCGGAGCTGCCTTAAACGACGGCAACTGCATGGCTAACCTCAGATTTGCTTGCGAGGTAAATTGAAACTTTACATAAAAATACAGTAAATTAATCGAGAGAGCTTGCAAAATGTTAGACAACTGCTCCTGAATGTCTGTTTCCACAATGCCCAGTCTTTAGCTGCGTGAGGGATCCTGCAAAAAATGCGCTTTCAAAAGCTTGGAAAAGTATAATTTTTCTAGAAATTAATTTTTCAAAACATTTTAATTCTTTAGACACTTTCGACGGACAGTTTCGCAGTGCATGCGGCCAACAGTATTACTTCAGTAATTACACTGCTTCGCTACAGGATGCTTTCACGATTTGCTGCAAATTTGGGCTGAAATTACTGAGCGTGGAAAGCGTCGAGGAAATGAACTGCATAAGTGATGTTGTAGCGGGTCGGTTAAATTTTCAAATGGATTTGCCTTTTCTTTATGTTTAATAAATTTAATACAATAAATTTGAAACAGCCGAGGTGCGGAGAACAGGTAATTACTGGACTTCTGGAACAAACACTGGTTTTGGTTGCGAATTTTCCTACGGCTGGTGTGGCTCGAACAAATTAATGACAAATTCAAATCTCTGGTCCCCTGGAGAGCCCAACACTCCTTTAATAGAGCAGTGCATTGAAATTTACACTGGCACAGGAAAGTTAAATGATGCTCCGTGCAGCCAGGAAAAACTTTTTATTTGTGAAGTATAATTTTTGGTATTATTAGGCTAGGTTAATATTGACATTTTTAGGGATATGTGCCCGATTGCACTCCAATTTGCCCTAGCACTTGCGCAAAGGATGTAAAAATTTAATAATTTGAAAGGAAATAAAAATTACAGTTCATTTTTTGACAACATTAGGCTTCACTGTTCAATAGTCAGAACCAGTTATTGGGTATTTTATAATGAGTTCGGCCAAATTTAAAATAAAAAATCTTATGCCTTTCTCTGCAGACGTGGCTTCTTATGGAACCTGGACAACAGTTAATGATACAACTTATCTCTTCAGTTCAGCGGCAGTAAGAATGATCAAAAATCAAATAGATTTTTATTTAAAAGAAAAAATTTTTCAGGCAACGTTTGACGAGGCATTTCAAATTTGCTGCAGAATTGGAATGAGTTTAGTATCTTTGGAGACAAAAGAAGAGATGCAAATTTTATTTGATATGAAAAATAAAGAGAGTATGGATTTTTGATAGATTTAATTTGCAAAATAAAATGTTTTTTACAGCCCCTGTTGCCATGCAAGTTTGGACTAGTGCAACGCATGCTGGTTGCGAGTACAGATTCAAATGGTGCGGATCGGGAGAAAAACTTTACCGGAACGACTCGCGATGGTATAAATTTTCTAGAAAAAAAAATTCGATTAATTCTGGTCAATTCAGGTTATCAGGGCAACCAAACAGTTTGAATCTCGGCCAGGACTGTGTGCGATTGATTATCACAAACTCAACCAGCTATTTCAATGACCTTCCATGTGGCGAAAGATGGCGATTTTTTTGCGAGGTATTTTCTTGATTTATTTAAAAGTAGTTAAATAAATTTAATTCATTCTTAGGCACCTGCTCAGCCTCCGTGCACTTCAGTGGCATGTCCTGACAGTAACTGCGATCTAGATGTACGTCTTGCACTTAATTAAATTTTATTATTGATTAACTTCAATTATTACTAAAGCCAATAAAATACGTCCAATCTCTGGCTTGGAAAGGTGCGTGGAATTATAAATTTTTCTGGATATTTTTAAATTAAATATGAACTTGCAGACACCTCTGATGGAATATTTAGAAGCGCCTGTGGCAGGCAATACTACTTACATAAAATTGCGGTTTATATTTTTTTTGCTGACGGATTTTTATAAGATAATCGATAATTTTTTTTAGACAACTTTCCAATCAGCTATGCAACTGTGTTGTGAAATGGGTTTGCAACTTTTTTCAATTGAATCATTGGACGAATACAATTGTTTCACCAAAGATGTTTTCAGTACGTTGTTAAAAAAAATTAAAAATTAAATCCGCTTATTTTTAATTTAAAAGATCTGGATACGAATTCCACAATCATCAGAACGTCAGGAACTTCAGACGGTATTGGCTGCCAAAAAACATGGGGTTGGTGTCCCTCTGGACAGATTTTCGCAAATGGAATTCCCTGGAGTCCAGGGGAACCTGGAAACCCAGGAGTGGAAAATTGCGCCTGCGTTCAAATGGGGGGCGCCGCTTTGGGTGCTCCTGTTTTGCATGACTGCGGATGCCATACAAACCATTGGTTTATATGCGAGGTGAAAGAAAATCAAATGCTTTAGATTTTATTTAAAACTTCAGCCTTTCATTAAAAAGTTAATAGTTTCAAGAACTTCAAAAAAATTAAATACGAGTTTTTCAGTCGATCCTTGAATGATAAATGATGAAAAAAATTTATTGACTTTATCCGATTACAGGGATCCGTTCCAGAATGCAAGCCAATGTGTCCCATTAAAACGTGCACAAAAAATGTAAAGCTGGATTAATCATTCCGAATAATTCTATGATCTTTTAACATTTTATTCAGACCACATTGTTCAACAATAAGGGACAGATTTTATCTCCAAACCAATACGGAGCGTGGAGAGACACTTGTAGCCGGCGATATTTATTCAGCACCAATACTGTAAAATCGACATAATTGTCAAATTCAGCTCAATAATTTTCCTTAATAAATTAGATGGACTATTATGGTGCGTTCAAAACGTGTTGTGCTCTGGGCATGCAACTCTTGACCCTTAATGACAATTCCGAACTGCAATGCTTAACCAATCTTAATAACGGTAAAACTAAAAACCTCTTAATTTTAACATTTGAAAAAAAAATATACACTGCTTTTTAGTTGATATGAAATACACTGATTCTTTCTACACGAGCGCTAGTTCTCAGGATTGCCGAAGTCGATTTGAATTTTGCCCAGACACTGGAATTTATATTTATGCAAATGACACCAGATGGTACCTCAATAATAAACCAGTTGAAGATAATCTAAATTTAAACTTCAACTAGGGGCACGAACGAGCCCAGCGGAGTTGAAGTGACATTATTATTGAATTTTAGTCCTGGGTCAACAACAACATTTGCCGATTACGTCTTTCAACATCCATTAAGATTTATTTGCGAGGTTTGAAAGTAAAATTTTACTTTGTATGTTATTTTTAAAATATTTTTTGCAGGGGCCAATTATTTGAAAATTTTTATCTCAAGATCAATAAAAGAAATTTGAAATGGAAAATATTTTAAATCATTTACTGCAATAATCCTCTCAGCGAAATATTTGCCAGTGCATCACAAACCCAATAAATCACAAGGATCCAAAGTGTGACTGAAAATGGCTTGTCTTTTGTGGTTTAGTTATTTGTGCATTGGAGAGTTAGAATGAATAACTAATGAAAATAAATTGAGAATTGAATTTTTGAGCGAAAAAAAATCATTTAAATGTGAAAGAAAAGAAAAAGGCAAGAGGGTCTTATTAATTAATTTTTGTTCTTGAATTTTTTAAAGAATATAAATTATTTTACATTTTTAAATCTCGCAAACATTTATTTAATATGCAGCCGTTAACAGTATGTGTCTCATTTTACTTTTCATATGAATTTTCAGCTTTTTTGTACTTTTTTCTTCATTTTAATTCAGGACTGTGTATCGAATGGAGAATAAATAATGAATCACACAGTAGAAAAATGTTTCGTGCATATTAAACAGAGGATTATTCTTCATTTGGACCAATCAGATATGTACTTTTTTGTTTGTTAATATTTCAATTTGACACTGTACATAAAATATAGATTTTTCCACGTTCTATGAAATTTTCCCTTCACCATTACCAAATGCACTTCACAAAAAGAGCAATGCTAACGTACAATTTTCAAGCTGCAGTTTTTTACAACGCGCATGAGCATTGAAAATGAATAAAACTGTCAAAGTTACGATTCAATCGTGCTACTAAAATATGAAAAAGCTTAAATTCAAACAAACTCAAGGATAATGAATGAATCAAAATGTAATTATCATAGGAAATAATTTCAACTTTGCAAAAATTTAATGGGAATATTCGTTGGAAAATCACAATTTTTTTAACGGTTACATTTTATATTCTCGAATAAATATAACTCATGTGCACGTCATTTCTCCACTTTCACTCTGAAATGAATCACACACCGCACAAATTTGTCGTGCTGTCAGACGCAATAGTTCTCTGCCCATGAACACATTGATCATGCATTGGATCACACTGCTCTCCGCAACCACTTTGGGAATTATACTGGTAACTAATTTTTTTTTGTTCTTGTTTCTTTTCTTAAATTAAAACGTATAAATATTATGAATTTGCACATTTTAGATTGACGCAAATGCCGTGTTAAACCCATCCATAGTTAGAATAAACTTTATCACAGGTGCCATCATCAAGTTTATGCAATGAATAAATTTTTTTAATATTCAACCTTAAAAGCTAAAAGGCCGCAAAACCGCGTCTTGATTTCAAAATGCTGCTCAAGTGGATTTCAGAGCTGCCAGGAAAAAACAACAACTGCAAACGTGTCTTTGTCTTTTAAAACCACGAATATCGTTCTACAAGTAAAATTAATTTATTTGTAGAGGAGCCTTTATCCAATTAAGAGGAAATAATTATTGTATAGAAAACAACCGTACGTGAGATGACATCTATTCAATCCAAAGAAATAACAACTGAAGAACAACAAATAGGTATTTTAATTATAAAAACCATCCAAAAATAATTCAAATATTGCAAGTATCAACTTCCATCATATCTTAATTTATTCTTATCTTTCTCCACTGCAAAAGTATAAAATAGTTAATCTAGAATAAAAAAATTGGAAAAACATAAGATATATTTTTTTTTATGTTGGGTACAAAAAAATTTAATTTGTGGTAAAATTAATTTGACCAAACCTGTCATATTTTGTATTTTCAAAGCATCTGATCAACCTAATGAAGAAACTGCAGTACCAATGACGACAGATCCACCAACTACAAACAGTGAAACTTCAGTTCATCAGCGGGAAAAATCACTGCAATATTTTCAATTCTAGCGCCCACCATAATCACTCCAACTACTACGACCATGCCCAGCACTGTGCTATCAGTAATAGAGTCTTCAACGTCATCTTCGACCTCTACTGTTATAACATCAACCTTAACTACTACAACCTTGCCACCTTGCCTCCCCTTCCAATGCACTCCCGATGTAAGGAAATGTAATTTAGATTCTACGTGATTCCAAATAATTTTGGAATATCATATATATAATTTTCTCTTTTAGTGATAAATTGCAAAGCAAAATGCAAAATTAATTAATTAATTAATTTTTTCATTCAGGCGAGCAAACTGGATGTTGCAACTGGAAAAGTTGATCGTAATGAAATTCAAAGAAACATAATTACTATATGTTTGCAGAGTATTATTATCAAATTTCACAGCAAAAGCAGTCACAAGTGGAGTTTTGAGATCTGCCTGTGACAGACTTTACTTGTTTAGCTCAGACTTGGTGAGCGCGCATTTGTTACAAATTTCCATAAATATTGTGAAATTCCCGCACTGACAGAAAAAATGGACTGATGCTGCTAGTTTCTGCTGCTCATTAGGGATGCAATTGATCACGATAGAGTCGTGGCAACGCATTACTTGCATTTCAGATTTGATGAACAGTATTGAAAATTTCCCATTAATAAATTTTAAATCAACTTTTGCGCCAAAATAGGTCCTGAAGGTTCCGGAATATCTGGCGAGTACCTGACCTCCCTGAGCGATTATCAAAAGGAAAGTGAATTTTTGTGGTGCACCGGGAATTTAACCCAACTGGGAAATCTGACATGGAAATCTGGTGAGCCGAGCGATAAAGGGTTGGCTGGAGAAGAGGAAGATTGCACCTCGATTCAGGTCTCTGCAGGTTCTATTAATAACAACGTGCTGCACGACGTCAGTTGCGATTCAAGTTTAAAATACATTTGCGAGGTAAATAAATCAAAATATTGAAAATAATAATTTATTAATCAATTATATAAAAAAGACGCCATACACAACTACAACAAAGCCGCCCTGCTTGCCGTACACATGCGAGAAAAATGTGTTAAAATGAACAGGAAAATTGATTTCAATTAATTTAACATTCTTTTTTAAGTCGTCGCTTTTGGACAAGGAGGAATACATAAATCGTAAATAATCATAAAAAAAAGACGGGAAAAAAACATTTCATATGAAAATAATAGCTAATGCGCCCATTAATGGAGAATTGAGACTTGCATGTGGAAGAATGTATTTTTTTAGCAACACCGAAGTAAAATATATAATTTTTGAAATTTCAATCTTAACGCTTATAAAACCCAAAATTTAATGAAAGAATAATAAATTTTGTATTTAATTCATGGAATTAATTGTGCAGCAAACATGGCCAGACGCAGCCGCTGAGTGTTGCAAACGGAACATGCAACTTTTGAGTATTGAGAACGCTCAGGAGACGTTGTGCTTGAGCTCAATGATCGCCAGTGAGAAATATTACTTAATTTAAAGGTCTCTGAATAATAATCCTTCATCGAAAGGGCCCAACTACGGCGGTTTTGCGTCGCGCTGGTGGACCGCTGGAAGTGACGAATACCACGAAAAATACTTCGTTTGGTGCACGGCTAGCTCAACAAAAAATATCACGTCTGAATTCAAATTTGGCGAGGGGCAGCCAGACAACGCTGGGGGCAATGAAAACTGCATTGAATGGGTCGTAGAACCCAACAATGTTTACTTCAACGACCGCGCGTGCTTGGATGTAAAAAATAGATACATTTGTGAAGTAAGTTATCGATTATCTTCGTCACATGCCAGCAAAAATATTATTAATACTTTCAGACTTACGAACGTTCCATGCCAAAATGCCCCAATGGCATCTGCCAAACGGAAGCAGCGAAGGTTGAGTTGTCAACAAAGTGGAAAAGTTTGTATTTTTCAAGAAATAATTGAAAAATGAAATTTATAAAAATTATTTAAATATCCTAGCAAGTGACGATGGAACCTTCAGACGTGCATGCGGGAAACAATATTTTTTGAGTAAAATTGTAAAAAGCAAGGCTGAGGCGGAAACCGAGTGTTGCAAATATGGGTTGAAGCTGCTCAGTATTGACAGTTACAAGGAAATAGAGTGCATTGCAGATATGAACAAAGGTATTAACATTTTTTTTTTTTTTTAATGTGTGTAATTAACTTCCATCGCTAAAAGCGGAATTCGGAGACTACAAAAATTCCTACTGGACTTCAGCTTCTAACGATGGTTTTGGCTGCGAGTTTACGTACGGATTTTGCGGTTCAAACAAACTCCTTTACCAAAACTTCTCCAACTTTTGGCCAAACGAGCCATCGCATCCTTTATTTGAACGCTGTTTGGAAATGAAATTAGACGGCAACCCAGAGAGCATTCGTTTTGGCGACCTTTCCTGCACTGAGGGCCGCTATTTCATTTGTGAAGTATAACTAGAGTCATAAAATGAAAGTTGATTTTTTCACAAACAAATGTCGTAAAAGGGTGATGTTGCAGATTGCACCCCGACGTGCCCCGATAAAACAAATTGCACCAAAGATGTGATTTTCTTTAAATATAAAATAATTGAATAATTAATTATTTATTTATTTTTAAACCAGAAAACATTATTTAACTCAAAGGGAGGTCTCCTTGGTAAGAAAGAATCAAATTATAAAATTTAAATTACAATTTAAATCTTTTTTCAAGACACCCACATTTACGGACGGTATGGAAGTGGCTGCGGCAAATCGTTTTTGTTTTCTGCAAACAAGGTATATAACGATTGTTTTATTTTTCTCTTTATTAATTTTGAAAAATGTTTAATTCGTCTTCCAGTTAAGTTGGAGCAGGGCTCTAGAAATGTGTTGCAAATTAGGAATGGAGTTGGTTTCGATTGAGGACGATGCAAAGATGAAATGCATTTACGAGACCAACGCAAACGATAGTACGTGAGGAGGCTGAGATGTTTTTTTTTAACGCATCAGTTCACATTTTTAATTTTTTATAATCTTTTATACAGCCTTGCTGAAACAAACATCAGAGTTTTGGACAAGTGGAACCCAACAGGATTGCAACTACAGATTCAAATTTTGCTCGTCAGGCGCGTCCATACTCAGAAATGACTCAAAATGGTTTTAAATTAATCATCCTTTCCTAAAAAATATCCCCTTGATGGGTTTATTTTCTAGGGCACCAAATGACCCTAATAACTATAATGAAAATGAATGGTGTGTTGCGTCTCGATTTGCACCAACCGAAACTTTGGCGAAAGATCAAAATAACCTTTTTGATCAAGATTGTAATGTCGAATATAGATATATTTGTGAGGTAGTTGTAAAAAATATGTTGTTGCATTAGGAAAAAATTGTAATTTTGCAGATGCCGGCCAAACCATGCACAGCAGTCAGCTGTTACGATTATAACTGCGTCCCTGACGTAATATTAATTTTTCTTAAATTTTTATAAATGTAATTGTTATCGTTAGCCGGCCAAAGTGAGCCAGTTTACTGCTATGAGCGGTTAGTGCTAAAAAGAATGTTAGCAAATTTTCAATAGGTTAATTTAGGACCAGATGGACAGTTTCAAACATTCTGTGGTCGAAAATATTTTCTCCATACAGAATCAGTAATGAAAACATTATTTTGCATTTAAAACTGGAGTTTTCTAATTTTCCGACAGAAAAATTACAAAGAAGCCTACGACGAGTGCTGCAAATATGGAATGGAATTGGTTTCTGTGGAGACAAATTTTGAAAAAGAATGCATTATAAAAGGCTTTCAGAGTAAATTACAGATTTTGTTTAAAAAAAATCTCCAGATTCTTGTAGCTGTCACTCAAGGTGTTCATTTTTTGATGAAATAAAATCCGGCTTCCTTGGTGAAGATGAGCAACTATATCATGCAGAAATAGTAGAATTGCTTATATTAATGAAGCCGAATCTGATTTCATCAAAAAATAAAGATTGGGAGAAAATTAAAAAAAAAATGTCATCTTAGAAAATAAAAAATGTGTATTTTTCATGAATTTAAGGTGCCGGTTGGGGTTCGGTTACCTTTTGGACGTCAGGAACTTCAAATGGAGTTGGGTGTGTTCCAGGATTTGGGTGGTGCCCCAAAGGAACTCTTTTGAGTGCGGACTCGGTTTGGTTTTCTAATGAGCCGAGCGCCCCATATCATGAAAACTGCATAGTGCTCAATTTCGACGCAAATGACCTCTCACAATCAAAGTTCAATGACGCAGCTTGCTTGAATGGAGCAAGATTTCTTTGCGAGGTATTATTTTTTCGTCATTTTGTTACTTTCTTAATTGCATGATTTTTTTATTTTGATAGGAACGCTCTTGATGAGTTTAAAAAGAAGAAAATTATCATTTCTTGAAGTTTGAGTTAAATATTTGAAAAAAAAAAAAAATGCATTTGAGTTTGAAAAATAAAATAGTAATTCTGTGAAGTTGTGTTTAGTGTGTCAATTTTCATTATTTAATAATCTGCCTGAGATAAATGAGTGATCAATACTAAATATTTTGAAAATATAAAGAAATTAATTTATACCTTCTCACCTGTCCATTAAAAATTTTGATTTTTTTGTACATAACAAGTGATGTGAAATTTTTTACATCATAAATTACTGAACTATTTTCAACCTGAATTTAATAAATTGAGTCTAAAACTGGTATTTAACATATTAAATTCTATGATAAAAGTGTGCTTCAATAATTCTACAATTTTGAGAAGAACATAAAATAGCGTTGCCAAATTTTTGTACGTTGAAGGACTAATTAAACTGTGGTAAAAATTTTTTGATCTCGTAAAATGATGCTTTGAACATTTCCTCTTTAAAGTATTGAACGGAAATGACGTTTCCATTTCCGTCTGCGCCGCACATCATTTTGTTTAACAGAAGGCAACAGAGATATCGCGAATAAGCTTGTCTGTAAAACTTGGTAGTCAGTCAATGCTTTCGATTTTGTAGCAAAAATCATATTCTCTATAGGCTATTATTTTGTCTAGGAGTCCTTTCCTAGCTGAGTATATAAATTTTGGAAATACAATTTGTAAAGATTATAAAAAAGGGAGACTAGAGCTAAAAGATTGGGATTGAAAATATAAGTCTATTTTTTTTTTTTTTTTTTTTTTTTACAAATGAAAGGCTTTTAAAATATCAGAATAATGTTATGATAATTAATCGATAGCATATCTATCTCGGCTCTTCCGGAAAAATGATTAATTGATTACATACATTATCATGTATACCATTTCTGTTCACGCAGCAAACAACGAAATAAATAGTGACATAATCATTGAAGACATTGTAAATTCCCTAGGTTTACAATAAGATAAAAAAAATCTCACTGACCATTTTAAAATTTATTCAAGAGGATTTGGGCGAGTGAATAAGGATATAAAATTGTTGCTAAAATGAAAATTTTTAACAAAGAATAAAAATGCTTGTATTAAAGCATCCAAGCCAAACTGCATTGATTCTTCTGCCTAATTCTTCTCTCTATTTCAATAATTGATTTATTGATTTTTTTCTCTTTTTTTTTTAATCAAAATTAAGTAATTTTAATAAGTTAATTTTCCTATTAATTTTCAATTATAAAATATTTATAATTAAAAAAACATTCTACGTGCAAAATACAGCATGTTAATTATATTCCTAACAGTGATGACATGTTGAGAAAAGTATGTAATAATTGCTATTTATCTGCGTCAGGCTGAATGTTTATGCCCTGTAGGATTGATTCTACTGACACCCTAGATTGATGCTGTGTGTGAATATATTTGGTGATTTCCTCTTAAAAACGCCAAACTTTTATGACGTTCCATTTCCGTCTGCTCAGCGCATCAGTCACTGCTTTTTCAGAGGAAAGCGCAGAGCTATATCGCAATCAAGCCTGCAAAGTACTAATGTTGTTGGCTTCTTTGCAAGACTCGTATTATCACTTTGAAGAAATTCGAGGAACGCACAAAAATTAATTCAATCACGTAGGGGATAATTTACTCGGTGAGTATCAAATGTTATTGAAAATTGCAATATAATATCAAAATTAAAATTTATTGTCTTCCAACAACTGGGACAGTAGAAAATAAAAATTTGGATAAAAATTAAGTTGTAAATTTTGTATCAAGAGATTAAAAATATGAAAATAAATTTTAATAACACTGATGCCCAACTTAAAAATGAATTTTAAATCATCCTTCACCATATCCGTTCACGCTGCAAGCAACGCATCCGTCCACCAAAAAAATTTCTAGTCCTCCCTTTGGCGTATGGTACTGCAAAATCTATTATCTTTTTAAAATGTCTGCTGCGTTTTTTTAAACAAAATCTAGGAATCTGAGTGTTTGAATGAATTAAAACTTTTTGTTTCAACTGAAAAATTTTAAAAATAAAAACAAAATAATACTGACTCATCTTTAATAATCTTAAAGTACACTACGGAGATAATTAGTGTTTCTTCTACCTGTGAGACAGATATGCATTGGGTGAATTATCTCTCAGCAGCTGCGTTTTGCATGATATTGGTATTTTTAAATTAAAAAAATCTGTTTTTGGCATTGATTTACATAATATTAATTTTATAATTTCAATAGATAAACGAAACTGCCGCTATAAGTCCGTCCATAGTAAAAATAAAAATATTCAACAGTAAAACAATAATAAAATTTTATAAGTTTCTTAGCTTAATAAGTAAATTATAATAGTAAAAAAGAATCAAAGACGTATCTTCATTCAAAAGTGCTGTTCAAGTAGCATTAAAAAATGCGAGGAGAAAAAAGTTACGAAAAACTCAACTACAACAAAGAGAACTTCTGTCTCCATCAAAGAGGTATAAAATAGAAATATCATAAACTGGAAAAAACTTGTGAAGATATCTTAATTTAATCCCTGTAGGCAACAACGACATTTTTAGAAACTTCAACAGATCTGTTTCTGCAATCAACAGAAAAAGCATCTCAAGCCCCAGATACAAGTAATTTTCAAAATATATAAAATGTGATTTGGATGTTTTTTTATCGTCCACATTTAATTAAATAACATATAAAATAATTAAAAAGTTTATTTTATCCGCGATGCGTCAAATTCCAAATAATGTTTCTCTATGTAACTTAATTTCTAGTGTTTTAAGCTTATTATTAAAAAAAATTGGTGTTTTAGAAATCAAAATCTAGTATTCATTTCCAAAAGGTTCAGAACCAACGAGTGAAGCTACTACTCAACCAACTATGGAGACACCACTGGTTGAAGTGATCTCCACGACAACCCCAGAACTAACCAGCAGTGGAACTTTATCTGTGACGCAAACATCAACATCTTTTGCACCTCCCATCTCCACGACCAGTACGACCACCACCACTACATTGCCTATTACTGTGGCATCAACAACCAGCACTTCCACGCCAATTTCTACGACAAGTACAACAACCGGAACCACAACCACCACACTAACAACCACAACAACAACTACAACAACAACTACAACAACCACAACAACAACTACAACAACCACTACAACAACCACAACAACCACAACAACAACCACGTTGCCACCGTGTCTACCCTTTACATGCAATCCTGATGTAAGAAATCAATTAATTTTTCAGTTAGGTCCAAAATCCGTATGTCGTCGAATTTCAAAATAATATCTTTTTAGAGTTGACGTTTGAAAAGTATGTACCAATTACCAATAACAAAATAATTTTTCCGTAGCTATTTATTTTAGATTTTACCAATTTTCCCCCGTGAAACATTAAAAAATTAATACATCTTAAATAAAAACATACAAATTAAAACGTCCACATTATCAATGAAAGAAGAAACTTCATTTCATTCAAATACAATTTCAGGGAAAGACAAAATATAGATATAATGTTTAATTTTGATTAGCCGAGCAAACTGGATAAAACCACTGGAAAAGTTGATCGTATGAAAAAAGAATTAAAATTAATTCACTACATTTTCATTCTGATTGTAAACAGCAAAAGCGGTTACGAATGGAGTTTTGAGACCAGTCTGCGACAGGCTGTATTTGTTTAGTTCAGATTTTGTAAGTCAATCACCAAAAATGTTCTATGATATAACTAATAAAAGCATGATGAACAGAAAAATTGGACTGATGCTGCCAGTTACTGTTGCTCATTGGGGATGCAATTTATCACGATAGAATCGTGGCAGCGTATGACTTGCATTTCAGATTTTATGAACAGTAATCGAATAATATATAAATTATTTTTTTTTTAAATATATACTGTATATTTAATAATTTTTAAGTAAAACGATTTTTTTTTACAAAGGTCCCGATAGTTCTGGCATACCTGGAGAGTACCTGACTTCACTGAGCGACTACGGAAAGCAGAATACATTTTTATGGTGCACTGGAAATTTGACTGCACTGGGAAATCTGACGTGGAAATCTAATGAGCCGAGTGGAATAGGATTGGCTGGGGAGACGCAGGACTGCACCTCGATTCAGGTCTCCACAGGGCCTATTAACAACAACGTGCTGAGCGACGTCAGTTGCGCTTCGAGTTTGAAATACGTTTGCGAGGTTAAAAAAAATGTTATGGAAAATAATATGAATTGTTATTGTTTAAATAGACGCCCATAACAACAACTACAAAGCCGCCCTGCTTGCCGTACACGTGCGAGAAAAATGTATTTGGAATTGTAATTAAAAATTTCCCATTTAAATTAATCATAATTTATAAAGCCATCTTTTTTGGATTTAAATGGTTACATCAACTGTAAGATAATATTTTATGTACTTGTCCCTCTACAATATAAAAAAATTGAATTTAAAATCTTAAGCTACGGCGTCGATCGACGGCCAGTTAAGACTTGCATGCGGAAGGATGTATTACTTCAGCAACGCAGCAGTACGTTTTAATTTTTTTTAATAATTTTGTGTTTTCAACGCGCAAAACTTTACTAGAAAACGTGGCCAGACGCAGCCTCCGAGTGCTGCAAACGGAACATGCAACTTTTGAGCATTGAGAATGCTCAGGAGACGTTGTGCTTGAGCTCAATGATCGCCAGTGAGAAAGATTAATTTAATCAAAGTCTGACAATGGGTGTTAACTTTCACTTAAAGGATCAAACTACGGTGGTTTTGGGGGACAATATTGGACTGCTGCCAGTGACCAATACCATGAAAACTGGTTCGTTTGGTGCACGGCAACCACAACAAAAAATGTCTCGTCAGATTTGAAATGGGGAGCAGGGCAGCCGGACAACTATGGAAACAATGAAAACTGCGTTGAAATGGATGTGTCTTCAGGCACGCCACCCAAAAACGTTTTCTTCAACGACGTACCTTGCTTGACTTATTCAACTAAATACATTTGCGAAGTATTAAAATTATTGATTGTAAAATGAAGGAAAATATTTAGAATTTTAGACTTATGAGCCAGGATGTTCAATGCCGAGTTGTCCCAATTTCACCTGCCAACCGGAAGCTGCTAAAGTCAACTTGTCAAAGAATTGGAAAAGTTTGCTTTGGAAATATAAGAAAAATAGCATTTTAGTGAAATAATTTTAATATTCCAGCAAGTGCTGATGGAACTTTCAGACAAGCGTGTGGCAAACAATATTTCATAAGCAAAGTTGGAAAAAGCAAAGTGGACGCGGAAACCGAGTGCTGCAAATATGGATTGAAACTGCTCAGTATTGACAGTTACAATGAATTGGGGTGCATTGCCGAAACGAACAAAGGCATTTTTTTAACAATTACTTTAGAACTAAATGCTCACATACATTTCTTAATTAAAAAAAGCGGAGTTTAAAGAAACCAACACGTATTACTGGACTTCCGGAACTAACGACGGTTTTGGTTGCGAGTTGACCTACGGTTTTTGCAGCACAAACACGCTTCTGTACCAAAATTTCTCCAACTGGAGCCCAAATGAGCCGTCTCATCCATTAACTGAGCGATGCGTCACAATTAAATTAGACGTGGCTCCACAAAATATTGGTTTTAACGACCTCACATGCAGTAACACCCAAAATTTCATATGCAAAGTAAACAATTGACCTTCGACAGAATAAATATTAAATATTCAATTTCTCTTTTCTTCAAGGGAGTAGTTCCTGATTGCACCCCAACTTGTCCTAGTAAATCAAATTGCAAAAATGATGTATGCAATTATTATATTATTCTAATCTATAGGGAGGTTAATTTTGTTTTAATTTTTGTTAATTACAGACAACATTATTCAACTCTAAAGGAGAAATTCTCGGTACAAAATTGGAAAATATGTATCGGAAAAATAAACAGTAAATATTTCCACAGAAACCCTCAATTACGGACGGTATGCAACAGGCTGCGGCAAATCTTTCATGTTTTCTGTGAACACGGTTTGTTTAAAAAAATTCGTATTTCCAATCGAGTTTTAATTAATTACTGTTAAAAATATAGTTGAGTTGGGACGCGGCAAATACAATGTGTTGCAGATTAGGGATGCAGTTGGTTTCAATTGAGGACGACGCCAAGATGAGATGCATTTACGAGCTCAACAAAAATGACAGTGCGTTGAAAGCCCTTTTTGAAAATTATCATTTCAGCCTGATTTTAATTCGTGTCAAATAGCACTGCTGAAATACACTTCAGAGTTTTGGACCAGCGGCACCCAACTAGATTGCAACTTCCGCTACAAGTTCTGCTCGTCAGGCGCGTCCATCCTCAGAAACGACACGAAATGGTTACAGAATATTGGACAGCCTTGTCAAAAAATCTAAACCTAATGATTTATTAGGTTGGCTGGAGAACCTAATAATATTGACGAAACCCAGTGGTGTGTTGCGTCCCGCTTTGCTCCCACAGCAACCTTAGCAAAAGATCAAAATTACCTCTTTGATGCAGCTTGTGGCACCAGTTATAAATATATTTGCGAAGTAAATTAATAAGATAAAAAAGCGTTTTAAATTTTAATTTAAATTGGCAGATGCCGGCAAAACCTTGTAATGCAGTCAGCTGTTACGACTACAACAACATCACCGATGTATTTTAAATTATTTGAATAATTATTATTTATTATTAATTCATGAATATTTATCCGCAGCCAGCAAAAGTGAGCCAGTTTAATGCTATGAGCGGTACGTAGTACAAAAAAAGTAAATGAAAAATTTAAAATGTTTCAAATCAGGACCAGACGGACAGTTTCGAACATTCTGTGGTCGAAAATATTTTCTTCATAAAGATTCCGTATGCAAAAACCTGCAATTTATATCTGATGAAATTCAAATTTGTCAAATATTTTCTTAAGAAAAGTTACAAAGATGCATACAATGAGTGCAGCAAGTTTGGAATGGAACTTGTGTCTATGGAGACAAATGCAGAGGCAGTTTGCATCAAAAATGGCTTTCTGAGTAAATCATAATTTACATTTCAATAGACCCATTAGTGAAATTTTGATAAAGAAAACGTTTTATATTAGTGAACAAATATTATTATTATTTATTATAATTATATAAAAATTATTATTATTACTATTATTGAGAACGTTTCAAATATTTTCCTCTAGTATGTGTGTTTGTATATTTTAAAATCAATTAGTAATTGTTTCATGAATATTTAAGGTGCGTATTGGTACCCAATGAATTTGTGGAGTTCAGGCACTTCGAATGGAGTTGGATGCGTTCGATCATATGGTTGGTGTCCCAGTGGAACATTGATTCCTGCAAACGCTCCGTGGTCTACGAATCAACCCGACGGTCCTTACGTCGAATCCTGCCTGGAATTTGATGTTGATCAAAACATTTTTGTATTCAATGATAACAGCTGCTGGAGATTAATGAGATTCCTTTGCGAGGTGATTTTGTTATTTATATCTATTTTCAGGAAGTTTTTAAGTGGAAGTAATTTTCTTTCTAGCAACGCTCTTGATGAGAAAAAAATTTACAGTGAGCAACTGTAAAGGATTGATTTTAAATTCTAAAATAAGTTTTTATTTTAATTATGTTTATGATGTTTGATTAAAATTTCATAAAAATAGAAGCACAAACTATCTCAGTGCTTTAGGCACTTTTTTCACTTACAATGTTTTGAAGTGAAAAATAAATTGTTTAATTTTTATGAATCTAAAACTAGCAAGTGTGTATTTATTTTTTATTGTTTAGTTTCAGTTAGTTTATTGACAAATTAATTTATCGTGCAATTGAATAATTTGATGCAATGATAAAATAAAGATTACGAAGTAAATCTATATTATATTTCTGTCTGTAAATTATGTAACCGGCAATGCGCTTCGGAGTTGAAATTGCATAATTTCAACATCAGTGGATCTTCAACAATCAGAAATATTATCGATCGGTGACAAAAGAGACGCATTCAATTTTAGACCGACTTATTTCCTTTAAAATAATGACGATTATGCAATTCAGAAACACGGTAGTTCACCAGCTTCAGACAACCAGTTTATATTTTATCTAAGTTATAAATTAAAATTTTGTGTGTTCACAGACATTTAACGTCATTCTGGAGAAATTATTTTCATTCTTATATCCATTAGTTATTTCACATCATTTTCACGACGCATTCTTGCAACTTTGTAACTATTCTTGGATTTAGTTCAACAGCGGAATCTAGTGGCAGTAGAATTTAATAAAAATATATTTTGAAATCCTCTAAAATTGAAAAACAAAAAAAATTAATAATTTAAATAAATTGTACTTATAATATAAAATAAACCATATTTGAGTTATAATGTTGGAAAAAATGTTAATGGGGAGGTTGATTGTTTTAATTGTTTTAAACGCGTAGGACTGAAAATATTGATGCTGTGAGCATTCATTGTTGCTACTTAAAAAGCACGGAAACTTTTATGACATACCATTTCCGTCTGCGCAGCGCATCATTTGCTGCTTTATCAGATGATAGAAGAGATATATTGAAAATAAGCCAGCCTGCAAAATTGTACTTTGGGAGTTGATTCATACTAGGTCGGTTTTGTTGCAAAAATCGTATTGTCTCCTTGAGGAGAAATATAATATTAATTATAGTGTATCATCTTGTCTGAGGGTTCATTATCATGCGAGTATCGAATTTTGAATAAAAATATTAAATCAAAATTAGATGAACAATCTGGGAGGCCACAGCTTAAATATACATACAATTTGTCAGCCCAGTCTAAATTTGCTTGAGAAGTTTTTTTTTTAAATATTTTTTAATATATGAAAATTGGTTGATGAAATTTCTCCACCAATGGAAAAGTGATATCAAAACATCCTGTACCATTTCCGTTCACGCTACAAGCAACCAAAAACTGGACGATTTCGTCACGATAAAGCTTCGGCCAAAAACTATTCAAAACATCATAAATGTTGTAGTTTCCACTGTGGCGTATCTATGGTGCTGCAAAAAGATAAAGTTTTCAAAATTTGTGATTTTCTACAAAGTAAGGGTGAGTGAAAAACGAAACTATTATTTTTTTTTATTATTTATTTTTTCTTAACATTAAAACCCAAAGAAACCACTCAAAACGGGAGCAAAGCAACATCTCGCAGTTTGCTGCGAGTAGAATTTACTATACTAGCTGCTGATGAGGCTTCAATAGCTGAAACAGCTGTCCAGTAGAAAACATATACGGACAGATTGATATGGTTGTGAAAAATGTTAATTTATAGTATTTTTCACCTTAATTAACATTTTTATCAAATTAGGAAATTTCTTAACTTTTATGCACTGGTTTTGTCTAAAATATCTCGCTTCTTGGAACGTAATTCCACGTAAAGGCGATTATTCTAGTTACTATCTTTTAATTTTTATAAATTATAATGCAAAACAATCAACAGAGAATGCTCATATACATATATCACCATCTTTTTCTACTTAATTCTTGAAGATAATATAATTATGCTTTGCCACAGACAGATATGCATTGGGTCTATCTCCTCTCGGCAGCTTCTTTGTGCTTGTTTTTGGTACTTGTAAAATGAACTACATTATTTCCCGCATTAATTTCTTCATTTCATTATAATAGTTAGACGAAATTGCCGCTGCAAGTCCATCCATAGTGAAAATAAAAATAATCAAAGGTAAAACGATTAAAATGACATGTTTCGTCAACTAATATGTGTAAATTGAAATAGTCAAAAAGAATCATAGGCGTATTTCAATTGAAAAGTGCTGTTCAAGTAGTAATCATCAATGCAAGGGAAAAACAGCTCCAAATTCAACTCTTACTACCAGATCTTCTTTTGCCACCAAAGAGGTATATTAATATTAGAAACTGGAAAAACGTGAAAATTACTTAAATGACACCTGCAGATGCAGACAACAACAGTTTGGGAAACTTCAACAGAGCTATTACTTCAATCAACAGAAAAAACATTGCAAGAAACAAGTAATTTTGAAATCCTTAGAAAGTTTTGAATATGCAGTAATGTAGTATACAAAAATTTTATAAAATATTTTAGATTGCAATATTTTTTTGATATTTCATACATTTATTGTTTAAATTATTTTACAAATGATTAAAAATTGTCTGAGATAATTGTCAATGGCCAATTGAAAAAAAATGGTACAACAGAACTAAATTTCTGGCTTTTAAGATAAAATCTCAAAATCTAATATTTACTCCCAAAGGTTCTGAACCGCCAAGTGAAGCTCCTATTCAACCACCAATAGATACGCCGCTGGTTGAAGTAATCTCCACGACAACCCCAGAACTATCAAGTAGTGAAACATCATCTATGGCGCAAACATCAACGTCCTTTGCACCTTCTATCTCCACGACTACCTCCTCTACATTGCCTAGTACTGTGGCATCACCAAGCAGCACCTCAACGTCAAATTCTACCACAATTTCAACAGCTACAAGTAGTTCAAAAACCACCAGTACAACTACAACCCAAACGACAACAAGAACAACCCCAACAACAACAACTACGTCAACTACAACTACGACCACGTTGCCACCGTGTCTACCCTTTAAATGCAATATTGATGTAAGAACAAACCTGATTAATCAATTAGGTACTAAAATCTTGCCTAATAGTAGTGGAATTTCAAATCTAAATTTAATATGAGTTTAAGTTTGTTAAAATTAAATAATTTATCACCAGCAATTTTAAAGATTTTTACAAATTTCTGTCACGAAATAAAATTAAAAAACAAAATCATTCATATAGCTGTTTACAAATTACGTACAAATATGAAATACTTAAAACCTCCACATATATCATTGAAACGGGATAAATCAATCCTATAAATAAAAAAATTGACGATGGAAAAAAATATAAACATAATTTAATAATTAGTTCCCAACAGGCGAGCAAACTGGACGCTACTGGAAAAGTTAATCGTATGAAATACAATAATGAAAAGAGCAAACATATTCAGGTCACGTTCATTCTAATTAAACACAGCTAAAGCGGTTACAAATGGCGTTTTGAAACCTGTTTGCGACAGGCTATATTTGTTTAGTTTAGATACAGTGAGTCAATTACCCAAGATATTCCACGTATTATTTTATTATAATTTAAAATTAAAATATTTCAACAGAAAAATTGGACTGATGCTGCCAGTTACTGTTGCTCATTGGGGATGCAAGTAATCACGATCGAGTCATGGCAGCGAATCACTTGCATTTCAGATTTTATGAACAGTATCTGAATATAATTGATGAATTTTTAACACGATTTTCCCATAAAAAAAAATAAGGTCCCGACAGTTCTGGAATACCTGGAGAGTACCTGACTTCACTGAGCGACTACGGGAAGCAGAATAAATTTTTATGGTGCACTGGAAATTTAACCTCCCTGGGAAATCTGACCTGGAAATCTGGGGAGCCGAGCGGAATAGGATTAGCTGGGGAGACGCAGGACTGCACCTCGATTCAGGTCTCCACAGGGCCTATTAACAACAACGTGCTGAGCGACGTCAGTTGCGCTTCGAGTTTTAAATACGTTTGCGAGGTACAACAAAAACAAAATTATTACAGACAATATTTAAATGAATTGTAAAATGCGAAAAATAGACGCCCATGACAACAACTACAAAGCCGCCCTGCTTGCCGTACACATGCGAGAAAAACGTAAGGAATTGGAAGTCTCAAATTACAAATTTAAAACTCTATTTTTTTATTTATATAAAGCCATCATTTTTGGATGCCAAGGATTATATTAACCGTAAAACCTTACTTAATATTCCCAGCACACGAATGTAATTGTTAATTTAAGCTGCGGCGTTGATCGACGGTCAGTTAAGACTTGCATGTGGACGAATGTATTACTTCAGCAACGCAGCAGTACGTTTTAATATTTTTTTTTCTAACAATTTTGTGTTTTAAACGCGCAAAACTTTACTAGAAAACGTGGCCAGACGCAGCCTCCGAGTGCTGCAAACGGAACATGCAACTTTTGAGCATTGAGAATGCTCAGGAGACGTTGTGCTTGAGCTCAATGATCGCCAGTGAGAAAGAATCATTTAATAAAAAAAATCTGGAGTTAAACTTTAACTCTAATTGTAAGGGCCAAACTACGGAGGTTTTGGGCCAAGCTTTTGGACTGCTGGCAGTGATCAATACCACGAAAACTGGTTCATTTGGTGCACGGCAACCACAACAAAAAATATATCGTCAGATTTCAAATGGGGATCAGGGGAGCCGAACAACGTCAACAGTGAAAACTGCGTAGAAATGGGTGTGACATCAGGCACGCCACCCAACAATGTTTACTACAACGACGTAAATTGCTTGACTTATTCAACTAAATACATTTGCGAAGTATTCAAATTTATTGATTGAGTGAATGAAGGAAAATATTTAAAATTTTAGACTTATGAGCCAGGATGTTCTATGCCCAGTTGCCCCAATTTCACCTGCCAAACGGATGCAGCCAAAGTTAACTTGTCAAAAAATTGGAAAAGTTTGCTTTTGAAAACTCTGAAAAAAAGGTGGATTTTAGTGTAATTTTGTTAATGTTCCAGCAAGTTCTGATGGAACATTCAGACAAGCGTGTGGCAAACAATATTTCATAAGCAAAGTTGGAAAAAGCAAAGTGGACGCGGAGACCGAGTGCTGCAAATATGGATTAAAGCTGCTCAGTATTGATAATTATGATGAATTAGGATGCATTGCGGAAATGAACAAGGGTATTATTTTAACAATTACTTTAGAACTGTAAATGCTCACATTCATTTCTTGATTTGAAAAAAAAGCGGAGTTTAAAGAAACCAACACTTATTACTGGACTTCCGGAACTAACGACGGTTTTGGTTGCGAGTTGACCTACGGATTTTGCAGCACAAACACGCTTCTGTACCAAAACTTCTCCAACTGGAGCCCAAATGAGCCGTCAAATCCATTAACTGAACGATGTGTCACAATGAAATTAGACGTGGCTCCACAAAATATTGGTTTTAACGACCTCACATGCAGTAACACCCAAAATTTCATATGCAAAGTAAACAATTGACCTTCAACGGTATAAAAATTCAATTTTCTAATTTTTTCCTCAAGGGAGTAGTTCCTGTTTGCACCCCAACTTGTCCTAGTAAATCAAATTGCAAAAATGATGTATACAATTTTAATATCAATTTGAAGGAAGATTCATTTCTTTTAATTTTTTTATTGCAGACAACATTATTCAACTTGAAAGGAGAAATTCTCGGTAAGAAATTGGAAAAAGTTTCATAAAAAAAAAATTTAGAAATATTTTCGCAGAAACTCTAAATTACGGACGGTATGCAACTGGCTGCGGCAGATCTTTCATGTTTTCTACGAACACAGTTAATTTTTAAAATTGTAATTTCCAATCGAGTTTCAATTAATTTTGTAAAATAGTTAAGTTGGGACACGGCAAACACAATGTGTTGCAGATTAGGGATGCAGTTGGTTTCGATTGAGGACGATGCAAAGATGAAATGCATATACGAGCTCAACAACAATGACAGTTAGTTGAATGCTCATTTTTTTGTAATTTAATATTTCAGACGACTGATTTTATTTTGTGAAAAAAGCACTGCTGAAATACACTTCTGAGTTTTGGACGAGCGGCACTCAACAGGATTGCAACTTCCGCTACAAGTTTTGCTCGTCAGGCGCGTCCATCCTCAGGAATGACACAAAATGGTTACAGAAATTGAATCATCCTTGTCAAAAAATCCAAACAGATTGATTTATTAGGTTGGCCGGAGAACCTAATAATATTGACGAAACCCAGTGGTGTGTTGCGTCCCGCTTTGCCCCTGCAGCAACCTTGGCAAAAGATCAAAATTATCTTTTTGACGCAGCTTGTGGTACCAGCTATAAATATATTTGCGAGGTATATAAATAAAAGAAAAAAATCATTGTGGATTTTATTCAAAATATTTTGGCAGATGCCGGCAAAACCGTGCAATACGGTCAGTTGTTACGACTACAACAGCACCACCGATGTATTTTAAATTATTTGAATAATTATTATTTATTATAAAATCATGAATATTTATCCGCAGCCAGCAAAAGTGAGCCAGTTTAATGCTATGAGCGGTTTGTATATTAAAAAACCACAAAATAAAAAAATTAAAATGTTTCGAATCAGGACCAGACGGACAGTTTCAAACATTTTGTGGTCGAAAATATTTCCTACATAAAGATTCCGTATGCTAAAACCTGCAATTTATATCTGATGAAATTCAAATTTGTCAAATATTTTCTTAAGAAAAGTTACAAAGATGCATACAATGAGTGCAGCAAGTTTGGAATGGAACTTGTGTCTATAGAGACAAATGCAGAGGCAGTTTGCATCAAAAATGGCTTTCTGAGTAAATCATAATTTACATTTCAATAGACCCATTAGTCAAATTTTGAGAAAGAAAACGTTTACATTAGTGAACAAATACATTATTTATTGAACGTTTCAAAGATTTTTTTATTTCCTGCGTTTCTGTGTCTTGAAATAAACTAATAATTTTTCCCCATATATTTAAGGTGCGAATTGGGGCCCATTCCCAGTGAATTTTTGGAGTTCGGGCACTTCAAATGGAGTTGGATGCGTGCGATCATTTGGTTGGTGTCCCAGTGGAACATTGATTCCTGCCGACGCCCCATGGTTACCGAATGAACCCAACGGTCCTTATGTCGAAACCTGCATGGACGTCAAAGTTGATCAGACCACATTTGGATACAATGATAACAGCTGCTCGACTCTATTGAGGTTTCTTTGCGAGGTAATTTTTTTATTGCTTTAGGAAGATCTTTATTCGAAATAATATTTTTCTAGCAACGCTCTTGATGAGCAAGACGTTTACAGTGAGCAACCATAAAGAATTTATTGTAAATTCTGAAAATAGTTATTTTTTATTGTGTTTATGATGTTAAAATACCACAAAAACCTACGCACAAACGCCACAAACTATCTCACTGCTATCAGGAACTTTTTTCACTTGCAATGTTCTCAATCGAAAAATAGATGGTTTAATTTTATGAAAAATAAATCTAAATTTAGCACAAGTGCATTTTATTTTTTGTTGTTTAGTTTCAGTTCATTTACTGTCAAATTTAATTTTTTGATCATGTAATTGAATAATTTGATGCAATGATAAAAAAAAGATTAAGAGGTAAATCCATTTTAATATCCGTCTGTAAATTATGCAACCGGCAATGCGCTCAGGAGTTGAGGTTGCATAATGTAAACACCAGTGGATCTCAAACAATCAGAACTATTATAAAATTATGAAGATTATTATGCAATATAGAAATATGGTAATTCACCAGCTTCAGACAACCTTTTTTTATCTGTTATAAATTAAAATTTTTGTGTTCAGAGAAATTTTATGTCATTCTGGATGAATTATTTTCATTATTTTATCCCCTTATATTATTATAAGTTATTTCACAACATTTTCACGTTGCATTCCTGCGCATTCCTCTAACTATTTTTCTTTAGTTTATCCGCGGAATCCAGTGGCAGGTAGAATAAAATCAAAATAAATTACTTTCATTTTTACTCATTTTCAAATGATTGTTCTTGCTGGGTGTTCTTGGTCCCAACGGTTTCTATTCTCAAAGAATAATCAGAAATCTCAAATTGGAGAAGGGAGTAAAATAATCTTCTATTTATAATTATAGATTAAAATACCCAGACCCAACACCGTTAAAATTTAAATATGATTTACTTACCGAAGATCACACTCTCCAAACGACGATGAAGGCCGATCCTAAAACAAGGACATTTAAAATTTTATAATTCTGTAAACTTTGAGTGGTAACATAATCAGTAGGACTTTAAATTTTCTTGAACTTTAAATAGATTTCTTAAAATTTAATAATTATTCACATACATCGTAGAACCTTTTACATTATTTATATTTGTTTTCAGTGATTATGATTGATGAATTGTTAGAAAGAATAATAGCAAGTGCATCGGTCTTGATTTACTATCAGATACGCATCCGTAAAAATAATAGATAAAAATGTAAACATTTTTGCAAAAAAAAATTATGTATACTATTTAAAAAAAAAATGTAGGCTTTTTATAACATCTGAAATCATTTTGAGCTTTGAAAAAATGTCTGGGCAGATTATAAAAAATACATGAATATTGAGACATTGGCAAAATAAGCTGTGAGAGCACTTTGTGACAATATTGAGAACATAATTATTGAAGTAAGTTTAACATATAAGCGGAGAGAGCATGAAAATGAAAGTCTATTTCTTTTTGTTAAAAGCCATTCAAGCAAGTAATTGTGGTGTAAATGTCTTGTTTCAATTTTGCGCAGTGAATTTTCCATATTTTACAATGCATAAGTACCTGAAGAAGCACCACCTTGGCGAACCCTGAAGGCCCTGAAAAACAGCCAGCGACCGAAAACAACACAAACAACATGGAATACTACAATGTAAACACTGCAAGAGAGGTCACACATGGGGGAGAAGCGCCGCGACCAGCTGACACCCTAAGCCCCTCCTCCGACGCGGGAAATAATAGCTTGGTCAACAGGTGAGAAGTGGAAATATTTTAATGATATTCAAATATTTTAATATTATTTATTTATTTTAGCAAAATTAAGTCTGGTTTTAAGGTCAAAATCGAAATTGTTGTTGAAGGTTTTGTGTCCATTTTTTTGTCTTTGTTGAAAACATTGTGTTTTAATGGAAAAACAAGCGGCCCTTCCAGATTCAGACTCAGACATGGTCTACGGCCCTATTTTGTGAGCAAGAAAAAAAACAGATTCATCATGATTGATAAACAACTTTGGTTAATTTTTGTTTTAAAAAAAGGTGGTTCTTACATTCTTGTTTTTTTTTTGCTTTTTTTTCTTCCTCATGAAATGGGATTGCAGACTGATAGAAATGTTTTGTTTCTTAAACAAACAATTTTTTCAACGAGGACAAAGCCTGTTTGTTTCCTTCACTTCCATGACGTACCATCTTTGGCGTCTCCTTCTCCTCAGGTGCCAATGTCTGCATTGGAAATTAATTTTTATTTGAAAAAATAAAAAAATAAATTCTCTGGTGAAAAAGTCCCTGTTATTCTTCGTATACACTTAATTGACTTTGTTAAAGATACGTATTTCTTTAACACCATTTCTTTTTCTTGGATTGCCGAGGAATAAAATAACTTTATCATGAAAAATTTAATTTTAATGCAGTTCTTTAAAGAATCTAATTTCACCATTTTCGGCTTGATCCCATCTTTTAGCAAACAAACAAGTTGATTCCGAAAAATCTGCCATCTGCCCACAAGTTTTCTGATTATAAAAGCCGCCGCCGCACGATGGTCACCTGTGCAAATACGACGAATCACCTTTTCTGAGTGAAGGAGCCGCCGACGCTGACCAGCAAAAGGACGAGTCTTCAATTTGCTCTCGGCACACGCAGGTGAAAGTGTCATTTTAAAGATTTATCACGTGCCAGACTTCATAAAGATGCCATCAAATGACGAGAGTACTCTTGGCGTTCGTATAATAATTATATTGTGCGGTCTGGCATTTTGAGTCATACAATATACTGAAGAGCAAGTAAGGCACTTTCAGATTTATTTCTAATTTTAATTTAATATGAAAATGACTTTAATTGTCAGAGGAAACATAAATTATATCTTGGACAGAATTTATGATTGAACACTTATTTTAATGAAGCTAATCCCCAAAGATGAAAACTATATTAGAGAAACTTGGCTTGAAATAATAAATATTAGCTCTAGAAGTAAAAAAATATTAAATTAAATAAGATTTTCATTTTTAATGCGGAACACAAAATCATACTATAAAAGTGAAGAAAACGGGATTCGTCCTCGTTGGATAAATTATTATTTGTATTGACCAATAAGAATAAATATTATTAATAATTTACTCAAAAAAACTTCACTTCATTGATCATCTCCTTCAAGGCCAATCTCTTCACACAATTTTTCGTCAAACACATCATAAAAACTGCGAATTACAAAAAAATGTTTGAAATAAATGGATTGATATTTATTTTGCTTTGAAACTTCATTAATTTGAATTATCTGAATTTACTATCAAATTCCTAATGGGAAACATAATTTTTTCTTGTATTTTTTTTTTTATATCTTAATTTTATTTTTAAATCCATTTTAAGATTCCTTAGTGAAGAGTGATCAAATTTAATAATTGTCTAAGTAAGATGCATTGTGTTATTCCAAAAATTTATGATTTTGAATCAATTTTGTGACACTTTATTTAATTTTTCTTGCTCAGCTTCAATTCCACAGAGTAATACAGACATATCCGGAAGATGACAAGTCGATAATTCGCGAGAAAAATGTGTTCGCCAAGTATA